AATAGTAAACAGTACAAAAGGACTCCTTGCATTGATGATAGTTCTTAAATAATAAATGAACATTGAAGAAATGCGCACATAACGTAATATTGATTGATTGGCTCATCTCATTTCTAATCACTTGTAAATGTTTATTCAGAAATTCATCTTAAAATCAATTTTTAATTTTAATGTCTGTTCAGTGCAACTCTGTTTTGTAGCTAAAAGTAGATCGCTTCCACTCTTATTTTCAATATAAATCACAGTGTGTCGTCTTGAAAAAATGATTTTCCACTCAAAATCTTTTGCAGATTAATGATGAATTTTTTGAATTACTATGGAAGGATAGTTTAAATCAAGTTCTATGAAGTGCGCTCCTCTCATTACAAATACGCCTTTATACGATGCTATATGGGTATATATATATGTGTATGTGTCTGTCCCAGCACTTTATTTAAAGTATGAAAAAATGCTTAGAAGAGAAAATTTTCTGGAAGAAAAAGTTTGACGGAGAAAATGTCCAAGGTTATCGCTGTTGTACCAATTTCTTTGTTCACTTTTCAAAAAAAAAGAAAATATTGCAATCAAAAATGCTCACCTCACCGCATTTTGTGTGCCTTACTTCTGCGCGTCCCACTTTTTCCTTTTTTCTGTTAGACCGTTCTTTCATCACTCATTGCAGGGCAGAAGAAAAGTTTCTGATGTCCTGCACTGTGCAGCGCGACATGTCGAAATGTGAAATGAGCTCGTTTAGCAGCATTTCCTCATCAAAGCGTAACCGGTAGTGCAAATGTCCTTCAAAGCGTTCAAGAAGGCTTCACAAGCAGCCCTCTCTACCTGATCACTTCATTGTAATCCGGAAGGATGAGGCATTTCATTAAAACGCCGTTACAACCGTACTGTTGCCGTTACGATATTACCACAGCAAATGCCAAAAGCTATTTTTCAACCGCAAGCCATCCCATTATTTGGCTGTTTCATGAAAAAGTTTAAAGACGTACTATGTATCTGCTTTAGCAAATTCTAATGCTCTGTTTCAATTTAAGCTTGCAGTAATGCTAAAATTTGCAGTTTTTCGTCAAAATGATTAATGAAATTTCATTAAGTTCGCGCGTTTCAGGTTTTTATCCAGAAGGTAAAAACCGTTCGCGAAGCCTTCTCCTACCTTTTTCTCTCCCTCTTTCTTCCTCTCTCTGTCTCTCTTTCTTCCTTGATTTACTTTTCTGCTTTTTTTACATCATTTAAATGAATGCCTTAAAATATTTTTAATAATCACAAAGAGAAAATTATTAAAAGTTTGTTTCGGATTTAAAAAGCAGAAATGAAAGTATCACCAAAGGATTGAACTGTTTTAGCAAAGCAAAAAGAATTGCTCATTTCAGAATGCCAACAAACGAAATGTCGGATTTTGCTTTGAAGAGAGAGATACGTGTCACCCTCTTCAGATTTAAACAATTTCTCCTTACTTTTGATTGTCACTCTATTTGGCACAGCCTCAACATGTTCAGCTTGCATTTTTGAATGAATAATCGAATATTTTCTGATAATTAATTAACTAAGTGAATGGTAGAATATATTCGTAATGGCTTTATATAGCTGGAAATCTTTTGCTAATAAACAAAACTACAAAAATACTTCCTGTAAACTTAATCTGTCAAAAGTTAAATAGTTCAGATGACAGTGCTATGCAAATACATCATAAAATGCTCCATAATTACTCATAAAAGTAATTACGAAATTGTATTGACACAAAGACATTGCAATCAAATGAACCGAACTTTCACATCAATGCCATTTAAGGATTACTGTCGCTCTATCCCATATCTCAGGTGTTAGTGCTTATGACCAGAGTAAGTCCCATTATATTTTAATTGTCTCATCTGCTCATTATAATGATCTGTTGCGATGACACCGAAAAGTTAAATTATTGCTTTCCGTAAATAAGATGTGGATGAGAACAAAGATTTATCTTAAAACCGAAAATTGAAGAATCCTTGACAAAAGGACTATCGGAAGCGAAGGATTTTTGTCAATGAAATTAACTATGAGTCAAAAATTAACTGGCTAAATCTTCACATTTAATCATTCAGGTGAGCTTCCGGAAAAAATCACACAACTGCAACCCTCAAGCCTTTGTTTTATTCTTCTTAATACAACTGCGTGCTAAAATTCGAACATGACATAAGCGCCTCGAATTTATAAATGATGATTTACTGCATGTTAGATTTTATGTAAGACTTGTGAAAATAAATTAATAGTAATACTAGGCAATAAAAATCCTCTTAAACTTTCGTCAAACAAAATTTCAACATTGCAATCCAAAAGTTACTAAATGCATTACGTTATCACGTCGCGCAATAGTTAAAGTTTCACGCATATCACCGCCAATTCTCAAATGTTTCTAAGATTACCTTGAAAAGATTATTTTTCAATTGCTCTCATATTTTTGTAATGGTTGCAAACTAACAGCGTATAGGAAGTTTGCTTCTGACTGAAGCACGCAACACGGAACCAAAATTTAAAATATAACTAAAATCTGAGAACTCCCAGAATTACTGCCCGAGAAATGATGCAACAATTTAACAAGAGATCTTAGTATTCCTCGATGCTTGTTTTATTGATGACGAGGACGATGAGCGTTGTTGTTATTGGTAGCAGTGTTTTTCATTACAATGAGAAACTCTCAAATTTAAATGCCCGAGATATTTCAATGCTTTCAAAATTTTCAATTTAAATACTAAGTTTGCAGCATTAACTCTGCTTCAATCAAATATAGTTTTAAAACAACACAAATTTCTCTAACATTGTCAAAATTTTTGTTCAAAAACGATGCAAATTCAGACAGTGATAAATTTAAGCAAGCTTTGACGAATGATAAATGTTTAAATAACTGATAACATTAACTTTACTTCAAGTAATTTAAATTGTTAAAGATGATGAATCACTAAAGGAGCTAAATAAGTGGAAAAAAAAGAAAAAAGGTCCTGAAATGAAATGACTAAGAACAGATCATTCTACACCTGTATTAATAGGCAATATTAAATGAAATTGAAGGTAGGAAAGAAGTTTTTGAAGGAAGTTGTATTGTTGTGAATGATAAATCTGTGTGACAGTTAGCTCTGTTGTTGACAAGTATGGCTTTTAATAAAATAAATAGCAAATTCTTTAGCCATTCCTTTCAACTCTCCCTTTTTCTTCCTCTTCCACTCCTTTTATCCTATTTCAGGCTGCAATTTCAATTTCCTTTCTATAAAACGAAAAACTTTTGCTCCATTTCTGGAGCTTTCACAACATATCATGCCTATCAAGCTGTTTAAGCAAAATTTAGCTTAAAATTGAAAAGAGCCGAGCCGAAACTTTTGATTATACAGCTTGCAAACAAACATTTTTGAATTTAAAGTATTTTCAGCTTACAAATGCTTTATCATATACATTCTTCATTTTGGTACCATTCAAATAATGCATTTAATTATTCCACTGCTGCAATAATTTGATAGAAAAAAGTTTAAATTAAAATTAATGTATTATTTGCATTCTGAAATTTGTTGTAAAAGTGATTTTGAAATAAATAAGAAACGATGAAATCTTAGTGTGTGTTGAAATTATTGAGAGATGAAAAATGATAAAATTGTGTAAAATTGAAACTGGAATTATTGAAGATTGTTAGAAGATGTTGAAAGTGATAATCAGATTGATTATTTATAAAAAATTAAAGAATGGCTACCAAACTGGACGAATTATTTTGATTAGTGCATACATTTTTAAAATTATCATTTATCATTTATATCAAGCAGCTCTCAATTACGTGTGTGTGTGTGTGTGTGATAAGCTTTAATCTTTTTAAGTTATTGTTTAATAATTAAACATATCAGATTCTTATTTGATGATTGAACGTTTTAAGTTAAATGTTTAATGATTAAACATAATAAATTATTGTTCATGTTAAAATTTATGTTTGAAAAGCTTGTATTATTTTATAACACACTTTATTTGCACCAACAATTTTCCATTTTAAATTATGAATGAATGAAGATAATTATCAAAAAACCTCATCGCAGTAATTTTCTCACTTTTGTCATAAATGCTTCTGTCGTTCGACAGGTGTGACATGTACAATTAGTTGACATTCATGTCAACCAAACTAATAATCATATGCCATATTCCACTCTTAATTTACAAGACTTCATTTTGATTGATTTATAACAACTTAGCGAATTGTAAACAAGAAGTGTTAGTTGAGTATTATCAGAGTATTATCCCACTTACTCTGTTAATGTGAAATAAATTTGAAATTACATCATAGTTCAAAGTAGGGGTGGTAAAATTGGAATGTTTTTCGTATAAGTAAATAATTGGATGTGATAATTAAAATTTAGGTAAATTTTAAAGTGATAGTGATTTTTTTTTTTTTTGTTTTTAGGTAAATTTTAAAGTGATAGTGATTTTTTTTTTTTTGTTTTTCATTTATTCTATGGAATTTTTAATTGATAATTCTCTTACGAATAGGTAAGTTATCCATAAAATATTTTCTGGTAATCTTTAACACTAATTAAAATGTTATGCATTTCATTAGTGATCACATCATTGACAATTGTATTATTAAAGTGATAAATCTAACTGAATGAATTGCTTGGTTCATGTATTTAAAACAAAGTGTTGGTATTGAAATGTGAGGTAAGAGAAAGATTACAAAGCAATCAATATGCATTCATTTCATATCATTTATCTAATGTTCCAATTTACATTTTTTTTTTCTTTAAACATTGATTGATTAGCATGAAATTTTTCTTATGAATCATCGGTTAGTAAAATAAATTATTTCTAAAATATACAAAGAAGGAAAGGAAGTAATTAATTATATGAACTGATTCATTCATATTTTATTTTTGACACTTAAAAAATGATTTCATCGTTTGTCATCATTTTCTTAAGTTCGAATAAACCTGTTTTGAGAATGTTTTCTATAAAAGAGCAACGCAGTATCGATAGAACACATTTGTAAACTGCTGAGAAGTATTTTTATGATGAATTTATTTTTCGTCTTAATAATTGTAAGTGTATAATTATCTTTCATTTTGGATCTTCTGATTTATGCAGATTAATGGTACTCAGTTTTTCTTGAGTTTTAAGATATAAATCTTTTGGTAATAGAAGATATTTTCGTTTTATTAAACACCAGAAACCATTCCATTTCAGTTTTTATCTCATGAGGTCAACAAGACAGTTAATTAGAAAAGGTCATTAAGAAAAGTTGTTTAGATTATGAAATAACAATGGTAAATAACAGAGAAGGAGATAACAGTTTTTTTTTTTGGAAGCGTTTTGTTTGAAGTAATTAACCTTTCACATGATCTGCCAATTAAAAAGAAAGACCATTTGAAGTATGTTCTAGACAAGGCTCATTTAGAATATGATTCATTTCAAAATGAAATCTATTTATCTTCATCAATCTCAACTTTATATGATAGCTATTTATTGCTTTGTGCTAGAATAGATAAGTAAAAATAAGTTTATACTAATTAAGCTAGTAACCAAATTATAAATTTGAAAATAAAACCAATAAAATACATACTGCAAATTCTCAAGTAGATATCAGTGTTCACTTTCACACACGTGGATACGAGACGACGACACAAATGTGGACGAAATGAGATATGGGTTGAATGCATGGGTTGTGAACTGAAATGCGGCCAAAGTGAATTTGTTAGTGATTTAAAGTTTATGAGTACTGATAGCTTAATTAGCTAATTGTTAAACTAATGTTCACTTGCTAATGTTCAGGTTCATAATATTTTTACTTATTATTCATAAGGAATATTATATTTATTTACTTCATTAATATGCTTCACGTTGCTTTCTCTCTATTATAATGGAATTATGTCAAAACGTCTTGTGAATCACATTTAGACGTCATTTGTACTTTTTAAGGAAAAGTTATAAAGCAAAGTTAAAAGAGATATAATGGAAATTTAATTAACCTTCTTCTTTTAGACTCCATGCTTTCTGATTTGTAATCCGGCTGGTTGTTATTGTCCACCATATGATGGATTTAGAAGAGATGTCGCGGGAAAATGTGTTGCTGTATCTGAGTGTCCAAAAATATCAGCGGAAAAGCATAAAAAATTTTTGAACGTTACTTCTTAATTTATCTTTTCATTCACATTCAAGTTTTATCATCTCTTTTTTTATTAATGTATTCAGTCGATAAAAGTTTTAGTGATAAGACATTAACAAAATAATAAATCATCAACAAAAATTCTGAATTGAGACACGTACGTAAACCTTTTGTTTCAGTTCGAAATACAAATTTTGTAATCGTATGAGATATCAGATGGATAATCACAGAGAGAATGAAAAATAAGTTGTGTTTATCATTGACGAAGTTTAAACAAGCCATGATGCTTACCAAGCTAACAAATCATAGCGTATTATTGTTCATTGTTTTCTTTATGAAAACACATATTTTTTAATTATTTCAGTTTTTCACACATCAATAATTCACACAAATTTATAAATTCAATAATTTATTTTATTCTTAATAGTTGGGACTGATTAATTTCAATAAAACAAATTAGCTGCTTCTCCCCTGCTTTTATGAATTTTATCTTTATGAATGCTCAACATTTTTAGAATTCGATCTGAATTCATCATTAAAACATGTTGTTTGCAAACTAAAAAATTATATCACATCAGTGAATTTTTTGAAATTTAACCAACTGTCATATGATAGTCTAGTAGTCCTAATATTTGTATATAATTTAGTGGTAGAGATTTAGAGAATGTTGCGAATCTATAATTGGTACTTGATCCGGAATTTGAAAGAGAATAATTGATTTATAGTTCTATTTATTTTCTTTTTCATCTAATTTATTTAAATGAAAAAAAAAAAAAAAAAAAACGAATTAAAAAGCAAAAAATGAAAGAATTCAATGCGTGTATTTGGTATAAACGTGTATTTAAATAATGTTATGTATGGCATATCGATAAAATTAATAAATCATCATTATCATCTATAACAGATTAGTAGACAGTTTTATAAGAAAAAATTGATTGCAATGACAATTCTCGTAGCATTAATATTTCTCGAATTTAACTCATCTGTCATGTCAGTTTATTTATAATGAAAGTTATGAAAATTACAATCATCGATATTACCAGTATTATCAGTGCAAGATAAAACATTGATAGCAGAATTTATGTCCTTATAATGATAGCAGTTGAGAATAGAAAATATTACAGTTATATAATATCAACATTTAATTATATAATAGGGCCTTGGCCTTTTCTTGCATTACAATCGATGAAAGGCCTAAATTTGGATTAAAGAAAGAGTGAATTCCTCTGCGTTAATGTAAATGTGAACTGTGTTGTGATAATATCAAATTCGTTTTGTGTTCATGAAATAATAAGTGTTTATAAAACTGATTGCACTTTTAACAATGTTACGATGAATTTAAAGAAAGGAAATAATCGAGCACGTATTTAAACTTGACACGCCTCAAATGATATTATTCAAATCAATACTTACTTCACTTTGGATTTTTTTAAAAATTATGAATGTAAATATAAACTTGATAGAAAAACTTCTATGATTTAGCAGAGATATTTCTGCTCATATCGAGGTATTATTGTACATTTCTCGAAGATGGATGAAATTCTCGCATAAATATACCGAAATAAATGAATAAGCTTCATTTACTTTTTCCCTTTCCCTTAATAATGTGCAGTAAATGGTAAAGTTGAAATTTTAAATATCATGTCACGAGAAATCTCAAATGTCAATGTAAGAAACGATTTTTCAATGAAATAAAATTGGCAAGTGCATCCTTCTATTAAGTGAATGTCCCAATGATTAATCGGAGTGTGAATCCACTGAAACCGAATCATCAATTATTATTTTCATAGTTTCCAGACATAATATTTCTTTGCAAATATATCTGTGAATTATTAATTATCATTACATCTTTACGAGAAGAATTAGCAAATTTTGTGTGATATAAAAGGACATACTTCAAATTGATTGTACTAAACTACAAGATTTTAAAAATCTTTAATCTGTAAAAAAATCATCATAAAATAAAAATTGTTCGTGCTTAGAATAAATGAAATTTCACTTGCAATATCATAAGTAGGATAAAACTGTGGGCTGTTTCTCCGTAGTAAACTTTCTTTCCTGTGAAGTTGAATGGAAAATATTCGACGGAACAACGAAATTTGTCCATCTGCCATGTGAAACTAAATGAATTAAATGGTCATCATTTTGTTATGATTTTGATAATTTGCATTCTCGAAGTAACATATTCAATTCACTATACAGACCTTTTTCATATACACTTCACTACACATTTTTTAATATATTATGGATAGAAGAAAAATATTACTTGTATAATTGTAAATTTATATGGCTTCGTGGCGTCTATAGACGCCAGCAATAACTTATGAGATTTTGCATCACCAAGAGATACCGGTTTACAAAGTTTCACCACTGAGAGATAAGATAAGCTTATAAGGCTTTGAGTCCAAAAGTGGATTACAGTACCGAGAGACAATTACAAGGTTTTGCAGTGTAGAATTAGATGTGGATGTCACTCATCTTTAACAAACTTCCAGTGCATTACAGTTGAAGTGGAAAAACCAAAGTACAGAAAAAGAGAAATAAAAGTCATTATATAGTTATACAATTAATTCAAAGAGTGTTATCCTAGCTGATTGTGAATTATACGCCCAGATATCTCGGTACTTTATTTTCTAAATAGGGTCGACATGAACGTAAGTGAAGCAACATAAATTAATATAAAAAACAAATGAGATTTAAAGTCAAAGGAAGTGAACGAAAGTTAAACAATCACAAGAATTAATTGTAACTGTGACTTGCAATAATGAAGTTATAATAGCTTACATTTTGTGGTACGTGTTTTATCACGCTTATCTACTTCTTTTACGTGACATCACACGTCTACATATATCTATTACTAATTGATTAGCACTACAGATATATTGTAGCACACATTCACACCTTTTTAAACGATGAGACTTTGAAATCCACTAAAAATTTGGAGCATATTAACATTTAAGGTTCCTACGCGTGCTTTGTAGTGTGAGAAATAATTACTGTTTCAGGATTACAAGAAAAATTGTTACGGTTGGGTAGTTAGCAATTTTGTGAGTAAGGATAACTGCACTACGCATTCTTTTCTCCTTCCTACTATCATTTCAGGAATTGCACTTGCTGGAAGAGTAGAATGAAAGAATTGGTTATTGATAATGGAACAGTCAAACAGGAACACGAAGTTTGTACTAATTTCTTTTTGCGTATCCAGAATGAGATTGTAACGTATCCGAGAGAGATATCTTCTTCCTTTTTTTTTGCCTTTCTTCACCAGTAAGAATGAAAAATCTAGCTAAACCAAAAAATTTTCATTGGTTTAATGGTCTATTAGTCCTGATTATATCTTCGTTGTTTATTAGAGAATTATCGGTTGAAATCGGTCAAACTTAATCGCAGATTCCTGTAATCCTGAAATATTAAAAATGTAATTTAGCTAATAGTATGGTTACTCATTTAATAATATTACGCAGTCACTGATGTTTAATTTTTTATTAAGAGATTAGGAACTGAACAAGTAATTGGAAAGTATCAAGCTTAGTTGTATTTTTCTCTTGGTTTTCTGCCATGTGTCATTCTAATTTGATCTATTTCTAATTCCTTCTTTCCTTTTTCATGATTTTAATTCCTAATTTAACTTTCAAATTATTAGTGTTCATTAGTTTCATACAGTTATTCGTTACAATATAAACAAACATACTGTTATAACCATGAACGAACGGATGGGAGAAGAAAGCTGCTGTGTGCAGCTGACGGCAGCTGGGACACGTATATCGTGCTTGGCGGGTAATTTCAGGAAATATGTAAGAGCTGCTGGCAAGATGGCATTTATTCCATTTTTAGAGTCGATGGTTCAGAAAAGTTGATAGAAATGCGAAATTTTTGCATGCAGTTGAGAAAGAGATGCTAATGAAATGGACAACTGATTCGACTAACAATGAGTAAGACGTATTATTCTATTAATTGTAATAATGAAGGGACCGATACAATGATCCATAGTGATTCTCAGATAGGAATAGCGCCAAAAATTCTAGGATTCTGAGTTCAAGAAAAGCGATATTATGATTAGCGAACTCTTTTATTCCCTTTTTAACGCTCCCCATTTCAATAGTACGGTAGGAAATGTGAGACAACAAAATAGAAAGTGATTGCAAGATGTCTATAGATGATTCGAAGAGTTTGGATTGAGTCACATAATTGGTAGGATGTAGTTAGGAGACGACAAAAGATAGTGGAGAGAAAAGGCTGATGAAGAAGTGAGACGTTAGAAAAATACAACAAAAAGGTAGAAAGGTTGAAATAGTACAAGGAAGTTTATATTTCCATATATGATTAACTTCAAATGTTTTACAGGAAATTAGCAACATTTTTACAAAGTATATATGAAAAAGAAGCACGGCTTCATCCTCTTTCGACACAATCTTTATCAGTGAGTGGAAGTTTCGTACTCCCAAAAGCTATCTTCATACCTCCTTCACAGGTAACTCTAATTTCTTGAATCTGTGTTATAACTTAACAATATTAATCTCAAAGCTATGTCTTTATCTTGATGTTGGCTATAGTTTAATGGCAATGAATGTTGTAATCTGAGATGTTCCAGGATTCAGTTTGTTTCAAATAGATTTCAAAACACTAAACAGTTCATTTGTGACTATAGGGTTCAAAAAATTTGTACTGTTTAAGGTTGTCATATTAGCAGCTGAATATGATGCAGATATGACCATTCAAGAATTAATACCAAGACTTGTAACATCAGGAAAAATCAAAGAACAAGAAAGAAGAATATTTTATGCTAAAAATTTGTTGATGGTAGTAGCCAATCAGAGACGTGCCATGCATATGACGAAAATCTTGTTTGAACTTGGACGAAATATTGTTGCCAACAGTTCGTGGACATTTGAAGATACTGCAAAAGTCCTCGTCAGCCGTATTCTTCCAGTTGGTTTATTTGTTTATTTTATTTATATGGAACTGAAACTTAATACAAAGCTGGAATTCTAGATAAAAAAATTCGTTGTAATGTTAGTTTCTTTTCTTCTTTTTGAAAGTTAGTGACTGTTCCAAACTCTCAAACGATGTCTTTTGGTCTTTAAGAATGGTACTATTGCGTGAACAAAAAATTACTTAACTTTCTCTAGTAGCTATTATTGTTGCTATTAACATATTTTTAAAAAATGTTACAGCCGATGTTGGAATGTCATTTGTGTAATTTCAAAACAGAATCACTGATTATTCTTGAAGCTCACAAGGAAATACCGCACTATGTCCGACACAGATACCGTTGCTCCTATTGCATTCAATTCTTCGTTAATTTCCATGAAATAAGAACTCATTTCCTGTATTTTTTTTTTCTTAACTTTTAAAATTTGGTATTTACGCTAAGAACTCTTTATTATTTTGATAATTTGATGATGACATAATTTGGGATACTAAGTTCATTTCTTTTTCTTTAAGAATGGTACTATTGTGTGATTTTCGCTGTGAAAAGCTTTTTTTGCTTTTATAACGATAGGCCTAAAAGTCAAATTGGACATACGGTTTGTTTCTGTTTTCAGTCGAAAACATCATGTAATAGCTCGCAGCGATTATCAGAACACGTTGGAATGTCCTTCTTGTGGAAAATTATGCAGCAGCGAGTTCATCTTGAAGAAACATAGAAAGCTCTGTTGTTTTGCAAAGACCGGGTATGTATTTCTTACAACTTCCTTACATGAAGATCTTTTCCGTCGATTATTAAATGAACTGTTGATAATTGGAAGGTTAAATAATATAGTTAACGTCATGTAGTAAAAAATGTTAAGAGTCTTTGTTTCTAAAGTTGGTTTTTTGTTTTGAAATTTCAAATCGAAAAGACAAGTAAAATTGCAGATATACTATGTCTGCAACGAAAAAGCAAGCTTCATGCGCAGTCAGTGAGATTATGTGTAATACAGAGATTGATTGTGATCTGTCACACCAGAAATCCGAACGCTGTATTTCACGGGTATACTTTTCTTTATATTATTAAAATTATTAAGAACTTATCACCTGTAATGACAAACAAAACATTTATTTTATAACACAATTTGCCAAATAGAACAGTATCTCTGATAAAGTACCGTAAAAGTTGCCGTACTCTGCAAGAAATGAGTGCTAAATCTACTAATATACAGTCAGCGAACAATTCTAAATTCATAAATACAAATGAACCATAACTGGGATCATTAAATCTACTCTGTCCGTCAGTTTAATGCTAAGATAATAAGATGATCATAATAATAATAAGATAGTAAGATAATCATGTACTAGATAGAACCCTTTTCATTTTGCGAATGAACTCTTGGAATTCTTGCTCGAAATTTGACTTCAATGAATTAGATGAACTTGGAAATAATTGTAGTTATGTCCTAGATTTATCCCAAGAAAAAAAAAATTATTCCTGAAATTTATAGTTATTCTCTAAAAAATGATTGTAGTTATTTTCCTAAAAATTAGCAGTTAAAAGAAATTGTCATTCAAAAGGCATAAGAAACTAAAGTTCTTTTTCTTTATCACTAGTGTACATCTCATAACTTTTTCTCGCCTTACTCGTTAAAAAGAACATTTGGACGTTCAATATAGAATTTCCTCTGTAAAGGTGAAAACGGTGCATGTTGTATTGAGAATTTATCCCACTTATTTTTACAGAAGCTAGTAAATCAAGAGGAAAATAGTCTTATACGAAAAGGAAGTGCGCAATGTTGGATTCAGGAAGATTTCAGCACTGAAGATTTTGTTAAATTTTAATCCTGTCTAGAAAATTGCGCTGATTTCACGTAGATTAAACGAGGGACTGCGTAATCTTTTCATCTATGTGCTATAAACTAATTTTAAATCCTCTGATCAGTGTTTGCTTCGTTCTCTTTTCATTTCGTTGATCTTTTATTCCTTTTTTAATTTAAGAGTTATCTATTTGATTTTATTCATGGATTTCACAAATCGATCAATACCAGTGCTGATATTTCTGTTATTTATAATTTATCATTTAAAAAGAAAATGAAAATAAATTTTAAAAGAAATTGAGAATTTGAATTTACTGAATGATGGGTCAGATATTATAATCGCCCCTATTGCATTATTTTTCTTGAATATGTAAAAATACTGTTCACTTTTCACTGTTTTATTTTTCAGATTTCTAGAAGTATTGACCACATTTTGCATTTTATCGCAATGTTTCTCGGACACAATATATGATGGAAGGATGAATAGTCTGTTTACTTTTGAAGACATTTGCTTAAAGAATAGCAACTTCCGGACTTTTGGGGATAGGTGTGGGTTCATTCTAGCTGGATCTGAAATAGAAATTCGAATATACATAATAAAAAGTGTTGAAAAGATGAACAGTGGATGAAAATAGATACTCGTGGGAAAGACAGATATTCTGAAATAGACATTGTGGCGGTAACAAATAATATCGATTGTGAAGGATTGGCAAGTATTTCAGCGGAATCTTCTTGAATAGACATTCATTTTTAGGAATTTGGGAATCTGTTCATTCATTGTAGTTCTTTTTTGCCGAAAGAAGTGTTTCTATGGAGAAAGTGGTGCGCGATTCCTCAGGTAATTGCTTTGTATCTTTTATCATGATTGTGGTAGATGTTCGTATAACTTTAATTTAAGAATAAAAATTGTCTTTCAAAAACGTTCAAACGCCTGAAATAAGTAGTCCAGTCTTTCGTTGTGAGAAACGTTATATACTACACAGTCATTTCTGAGTGACCAAGAATTTACGAACTATTACTTTTCAGAAAAGAATTCAATATCTAATTGTATCTGCGATAGACCAGAGAGAACTGTAAAATGCCTGACTTGTGGAGCGACATTTCGAGGTCATGCTGCACTTGTGTGCAATGAACATCCAAGAAGAATCAATTTAATGGATGTACGGCTTTGTCCCAATACATCATGCCGTAGCGCTTACTTAATGGAGTTTGAAGAAGGTTGACGTTTAACGAAGTCCTGCACTCACACTTTTTCAATTTTAAAAGACTGGAAACCATTCTTCTTGGTAACTGTTTAACTGAAAATGAAATAGAATCCCTTTAGAACAAAGCCTCAAAGAGCTATACATCATTTTTCTACTTCATCACGTCATTAACCAGAATTACTAGGACTCTATCAATAACAGGAGCATCACTTGTTGTGATGTGAACCACTTCGCGTAGTTACTTCCTGGGACATTTCCAGTCCAACCTATCGATTTATTCTTTTACCAAGATGTTTGGTCTATCCTCAGTCGAAGAACTTCCGGTTTAAGTCAGCTAATATCTCATGGAATATTTCTTCATCTAGGTGAGATAAAGAGGAATCTGATAACTGAAAAAAATATCCCAAAAAAAAAACTCAAAAATATATCCCAGTTAATTTCGAATCATTGAATTGTAATTGTAGTGGTGAAAACAGTTCACGAACTTTACATATTGTTTGTGCTCCATATTGATTCCGTCCGCATAGTGTCCCCCCTCATTTTTTCATAATTGTTTTCAGCATTTCGGGAGTTTTTTTTTTTTATCGGGAGAATATTGTCATTGTATAAATGATTGCATAATTCTTCATAAATCTGCTGGTAACATTAGCTATTTGACTGAAATGATGCTAGTTTCTTCAAATTGCACTTATCTTTTGCTGGTTTCTATTGTACATTTTGCTCAATTGTCGTGTTCTAAATTGAAAAGTCAAAAGTGAAGGTGAAATATGCCACGAAATTAATAGCACTATAGCGCTTTCAGGTTAATTGGGTCAGATGTCTAGTTCGAGAAGGGAGCTTGTCTATAGCATGAGTGATCTCACGATTATGGTGTATATTTTTGTTCAATTACACTGTTTTTCCGTTGCATATTTATAAAAATACAATTGCATTCTTTCTAGATAATGTAAATTTAGCGACGCTTCGCCGATTATTTCAGCGATATGTTCAATCACGTTACTATTCCTGCCATACTTTCAAAATATAATTTTGGAGAATTTAAAATACTGGTTATACCAGAAAATGTCCAGTTATTAATAATTCTTGTATACTTTGCTAAATACAATCTTTATTTGAGCTCTTTTAGTCTTGAATAGCACATTACCGCAGTACCTCTGTGTTCTAACAAATAACATTCATTTTGTGATACATATAAATTATTACTTATAGATCGCAAATAAAGTTTGTTCGGTAGGTAAAGACAAACATCCTTACGACAAACTTTTATTATTCGACTCTCTGATTTCATCCTTGCAGATTAAACGCCAACCCCATTTAAATTTCAATTCTCAATTCCACTCAATATTGGTATGAGGAAATGCCCATTGCGTAACAATAGCTTCCGATTGACGACACTTGCATGTCTGATGCTTACAGTAATTACGAAAAGAATCAAACACTATCAAAACAAACACTTCTCCGGAATTTCCTTCTTAAGAAAGATGTGGGTATTAACTCATGTAGTTTGTGATACTTATGAAATGAGATGATAGTAATTGTAAACTGCTGGATAATTCTATTTTAATACTGCATTCCGTATTGAGCCATCATATCCTATTCATTTCCGTTCAATTGCGGAAGTGACCGCGCATTGTCATCGGTTTCACACGGACAAATTTCAGTGGAAACGAAAAAATATGAAATCCTTCGTTTTCACCTCCTCAGTTTCCAAAACACTGTTCTCTTGAGAAGTTAGAAAGGAAGAAAATCCCAGAGTTGAACGGAATGAAAATTCTAGGAAAGGTAAACGGAAAGAAAATTACGGAAAAGTTGAACGAGAAGAAAGTCCCAGAAAAGTTGGACGGAAAGAAAATTCCAGAAAGGCTGAAGAGAAAGAAAATTCTAGAACGTTCTGTTAAGTGCCCACCCGCCTGCACAACAGAAACGAACGTCGCGATAGTCTGTTATTTTGTTTCTTCCCATTGCTGCTGATTGTGTTAGTTCGTTAAGTATTCTCTTCTCCGGCTTCTTTTCTGTTGTTCAGACATGTTTTCCGGATTTGGCTGTTTGTAGGCTGAGCAATAACCTGATCCCTCTTCTGAGCATCTGCTCCTTAATGTTTTTCAAAGGGAAGAGGAAAACTGGAAGACTTCGAGGGATCCAGTATTGATTAATTAGTGATTTTTCACTATTTGAATATTTCGGACTATTGACTTGATTTAAAATGTCGTGGAAGTTTGATCAATTTCGATTGACATATTATTTTTCATCTTTATTGTATATCGGGAAGAGTTATATCGCAAGGGGATACTACGAATAGTAGTTTAGGTTATAGTATCGGATTTTTGTCTTTATAGAATGGAGTACTTGATGTGAGGTTGACAACCGTTTATCTAAAAATTTTTATGTTGTTACAGATGTCGAATGAACAAGAAAGAAATCAATTCGAGGTGAAATTGAACCTGTCAAATTTCCATTCCAATGATTTACAAGTGAATGTTCACGGTCGAGAGTTAGTCGTTTCTGGACACCATGATGAACGTGAAGAAGGAGGTAGCATGATTAAACGTCATTTTGTTCGTACCTATACGTTGCCGAGAAGTGCGAAAGAAGAGCAGTTAACATCAGCATTAAGTGCCGATGGTATCCTGAAAATTACGGTTCCTACTAATGGAGCTACCGAATATCGTAAAATTCCCATCAAAGTGGATCCGAATTGGAAAATGCATTCGAATCCTTGCCAAGAGCTGATACTTCGTGAACCGATACCACTCTGGTGGTGGTGATTTGGTATGTCTTGGTATTTGATTAAAGAAAGGATGCAACACATAAAGCAGTTTGATTTTATAGTGTCGCTAATGTCATTTATTGTTATGTTTAAATTAGACTTTGCTTTGCATGGAAAGTTCAACACTCGAAGCTATATATGAAATGTCAGCAAGTCACCAAAAACATGTGTAGGCCTGAACTTTCGAGTACCAATTAGAATACTCGAAATGGGTTTGACTCTTTCGTAGTAACTGCACGGATGTCAGTTCTTATCTATAGTTTTCATGGATGGGTACGGTAAGGATCTCCAAGTTTAGGAAGCAAAAGACAAAAAACAATACAGAAATTAGGCATATCTTGCTGTATTGTTCCTGGTTCCTGTTTATGTTGTCGTCGATTATCGAGAAATGTTATTAGACACATTTTTTAATTGTTTTCCTCTGATAGTCTGGATTAATTTCAAATTTTTCGTTTTGCTTCAATTTACTTCGATTGCAAATAAAAGTTTTAGCAAAACAGTATGACTTAATTGTGTTTGCCCACTGAATTGTTAATGAGTGTCACATTTTTTTTCTTTTCAAAATGACATGGGAACATAGTGATCCTTAATTTTGTTAAAAACTAATATTTTCCTAGGGCAATATAACGATCTTATTAACTCCTCAAATACAAATTTGCATGATTTAATATCGCTTGAGTGGTTGGAGAATGGAAGAAATGTATGACTATATTGGTTGTATCGTTAAAACAATAAAATTCTGTTTAATATACTCCCAAAAGAAAGTGCTCGAATGAATGACGATCTGACTATCTTCTTAAAAATGCATTCATATCGAAAGTGCCCTACTCACATCATTTCGAAAAAAGATCAAACCCTTGTGAAAGCAACAAAAGTCTTAATAATCTCTAAAAGTTATTTTCCTAAAATTCCAAAAATAATAGAACAACAGTAGAATCATCGGAAGAGTAGTTTTTTCATAATGGAAGGAAACAAGACAATAAACAACTGGACATCAAAAACAAGGAAGAAAAAAGATACTGTAGAAATAAAGCAATATCTTGTCGGTAAGAATGATAAGACTTCGGATTTACTCTAAAGATTATGATGATATTTCACAATGCAAAGAACTTGTAATGAGATCCTTTACAACAAAAAAGGCATGGGATTTTAGCGCTTGCACAGGTTAGCCTTCTTGAAGAGAAGTAGAACTGGTGATTGACAAGAAATATGTTCATCACGTAGCGCTCTTTCCACTTCTTTGATTATTTCTGGATGAATGGGCGTCACCGCCAATAAATGTACGGAATCAATCCAACTTCGATCATACTCAACAGCAGCTTGAACTGCATGAAATTCATTTACAAATTCCACTACTGCACCGTCATTTAAATTCTTCACTACTTTGATGACTCGGAAATTATTGAAAATATTGGCGATTTCGAATTCGTTAAAACTTGCTGGATAACCAAAAACTTCAACGCTTGCTTTCACTGTAAATATCTATTTGATGAAAGGGATCCAACCACTCAAAAAAAAAAAACTTTGATATTAATTCTAGAAAATAAATTAGTCCATTTCTTATGATGCATAATTTCTAAAAAATTTAAAGAATAGACATTCTTGTCAGATTTCTTCAGAACACTCTTTAATTTTGATTTACTGCGAAAAAAAAGTCAAGTAGAATAAGTCAAAAAACAAATATATATTAGCACCATTGACATTGTGAGATTATTTTTTTCCTCCTTATCTTAAATGTCATGTCGCAAGTACCACTTTGTAATAGAAACCTGAAAACAACTTCCAGAAAATGACACAAGTACCATTGACATTTTGAGATATATCATGGTCTTTACCATGGAGGACTTTTTCCACTGCAGCAGTGACATTACTCATTGGAAAGGAAATTATGTTCGTTGCATGCTTTCCTCTTTCGCCAATTTGTAGGCTGAATTTTGTACAAGCCCTATAACAGTATCAAACCTGACTGTAAATAATTTTGTTCATAATTCTTTAATTCTTCACTGGAAAATAAACTCCAACTGCCGTCATAGTGTGGAATTAATTTTGGTACTGTGAAAAATCCTAAGAATTTATTCAAGTTAAAACAGAAAAAGTTACTTTTTTTCCAAAGCGACAAGTTGTGAAATACGACGATTAAACCATTGAAGCATATTGCCAAGTACTTCTTTAATATCACATTCTTCAAAATAAGTCATAGCATTCTCCAATAGTATTCCTTGTCGTATCAGATCATATTCGTCAGCTAATTCTTTCATTAATTTATACTCATTTGAATTTGGTGCCGGTAAGATATGAAAGACAACTATGACTTCAGGATGATCTGAACAAGAACATTTAAGAAATGAATAATGAAGTCATGAAAAAAGAAAATTTAAGGAACTATTCAGATTTCTTTCGTCATTTTGAAATTCAAGTTTCTGAGTAGAAAGTAAACTGACAAATTAGTAAGGGAGTCTGGGAAAGAAGGAAACGGAAAAGGTAAGATTATCATTAGAAATGGAACATTGCAACGAGTTAAATTCAACAGTTTATACTACCTCTTGCCTGATAGTTATTATGGAGTTATTTTTGATCAATTATTTCCATACTTAGTAAATTCTCCATCAGTTATGATATATATAAGAATGTATTCGAAGAATGCTTTAGTTGAAATAATTAACGATAAATTAAATTATTATGAAAGAAGAAATAATACCACTATGAACAATGCTATATGTCGTCCTAACTTCCTTCTCATTTCCAGGAGTTGTATAATACACAGCTTTCGGCTCTTTATCGAAACGATGGCTACATCCATATTGCACTGCTTTCTCTTGTAATATCCTTGTGAGCCATAGAGTAAATTCACTTTAAGAAAAACCATATTAAAAGGTTTGGAAAAAAATCCAACTCCCTTTTCCTTCATTGTCAAAAGTATTTAAGAGTAAAATAAAAATTCAATGATGTCTTAATACTGAATATGTCTATTCAGCAGATAGCTGCCCGAATATTTTAAAAGCTACTAGTATATATGGAGATCACGACATGGATTTAAAATTGCCTTCCTTATACTTCTCCATAAGAATTCCAATTAAGTAATATTAACATAAAATATTATATTATATACATATAACAAAATATTATATTATAAAATATTATAGTATATGCACAAAAAAAGAATACCGCAATGAAGGGATAGAATTTTTGTCGGGTACGGAACATATCAGTGCCCATGGAAAAGCGAGAGGATCATTCATGACCGTTACCCGTAATATATATGAAAAGAAAATGTATTTTAGGTGAATTGATTGAAGAGAAGAACAACACAATTGAAACGCGTCATAACTTAACATTCCGAGATGAAAATTCTCCGAGCTTAAGAACGCAATATTAAAATCTCAGCTAATATACATCTGATGTTGAGCTCTAGAACTGCTGTCTCTTGGTACTAATTCAGTGATGATCAAATACTCATAAAAAATTTTGAGAGAATTGCAAAACTAAAATGTATTTTGATAATTACGCTCGAAACCGATATATAACCCAAAAGAAAAAATAGACCATTAACGACAAAACCATTAGGTAACCTTTCGAGGTAACTTATTAAAAAGTGAACAGCGACGCAATTCACGAGCACATAGCAAGATGATAACTTATCAAATTAACAATAACAGAGCACCCTTGCCTTTCCAACTTGTATTACCTATTCACGGCTATCAACCACCCGTAAAATACACGACGGCCAATTGACAGCTTGACTATAGGAGCTGAGCGTGAAGGTTTAATTAATGGACTGTTTCGGATCGGGATCCAGTAATTTTATTTGGAAAAGTTCTTGATTGCAGCAGTGAGGACGAAAAGATAGAACGAACACCAAATTTCATTACGGTTTGTCTTTCTTACATTATTAAATGCAAGAACAAATCAGATCTAAGACGCTTTAGAGGATTATATGTCCTAATGTCAATGTTTAATTAATCTTTGACATATTTAATCACAGTCCAGTAGGATTTCGTTTTTATTACAATACAGTATCCTCAGAAACTGTTATATAATTAATATTGCTGGCATATTGTACGGATATTTTTAATCAGTATTACAAAAATTACACTGTCTATGAATTTATTGTCTTCTGCAAAGAAGATAATTTATGCAGTGGTGGTTATTGGACAGGATGGAATACTGACATTTAGAATAGTTATTAGACATGAGGTACTTGATGATGTATTGACATCTTCTTATATTTATGCATGCAGTAAATAAAAATGCCTTTTTAGGGAATATCGGTTTTTTTCTGTTTTCATGCCATCACAAATGTCAGCACAAAAAACTAAAACTTATCACCCAGCTGGTGTACTGTACGGCAAATGTGATAATCAACCAGTTACTGTTGAAGCTGTGCAGTTTCACGGAGTTAAAATTACTAAAAGTGATGCACTGTTAAAAGAAATTGGATATCTTTACACAGTTTCATCACTTCCGGAATTGATACGATGTTGCGACTTAGCTGCCAAACATCTTCGAGTAGGCTTTTGAAAATTCTATGAACTATACTGATTACTATTTGATGTAAACTGACTGATATTATACTTTTGCATTGCAGGAAGTTGGCCTTGCGGATAATGTCACTCCACTTATTGATTCAGTGGCTGGAAAGCGGGGCAAATACATAGTTGATTTTATTATAAAGGAGCCGAAATCATTCACTTTAGGCGTTAAGGTTAGTTTAGTTTGTATGAGCTTGTCTTGCATTGCATTCTCATTATAGTGCAGATGGATATAATAAGCAATTTCATAGATTAACATTCTAGGCTGGCATGACTAGTCGAGGTGAAACTGATTACTCATTGAATGCTGGCAAGGAAAATTTTGGGGGACGTGGTGAATCGGTGAATGCATGTTATTCCTGTACTTTTGAAGTAATGGTTTGGTTTTGCCTTTTATGAAGAAATTAGGTGTTCAAGGTTTTTTTTCAGTTAGATAATATTACTGGTCAAAATTTGTAGATTCTCAGATGAACTCAACACTCTATTTTTATCAATGATTGTTGATTAGCCATTGTTGTCTGTATTAGTTTGATAGATTTAAATGGTTTAACGTAAGTGCAGTTGCAGGGTAATAGAACTTTCAATGTTTCAATGACAAAACCTTTTTTGGGCTGGCAAAAGTATGCTAACGTAGGATTCTCTTTGTATCAAAGTTTTGGAAATTTACCGTGGAATCTCAGTAATATGAAAGAAATTGGACTGGTACTGCAGTATAATGGTCAGTTATGGAACAGAAGACTTCACCATAATATGAAATTGAATACGGTGTGTTATGTATAATTACTTTGTTTTTTACTGAACATCTGTAACTATGGAAGTTCACGCTTACATTTTTACATGAAGTATTTAGTGTTAATGTCTCTAACCACGATATATGTTTTTACTTTCTAAAGGGTATGACAGTTCTTAGCGTTGTAGTTTTCACGAAGAATTATAAATGTGAGTAACAGTGGCAAAAAGATAAAGCAAATTATTTGTTTTTATTCAAGTCATACTTAAGATCTGGCGAAAATTTTGTCCAACAGAAAAGACAGCGTTTGCGGTTCGAGAGTATGCAGGCCACACAATGAAGTGTTCAGTGCAGAATTCATTGGCATACGATACACGAGATCGACCAATTCTTGCTACAAAAGGTGTTTTACTAAAAATTGCTCAGGAATACGCAGGTCTTCTTGGTGATGCAGCATTTGTCAAGCATCAAATTGATATTCAAGTCAGTTTCACTCATCTTTTTGTCACTATTTTTCACATGACTTGCCCTTAAAACCAATTTATATAAATCATTTTATTTCAGTTTATCTATAAATTTCAATCCGTTCATATTGTTGGCTTTAACTATTTGTCTATTAACCATATAACTGCATTTAATGACGTTGATCCTAACTATAATCTCCCAAATGTTTGTTGCGTTGTGCGGTGTAAATCTGAAGTACGCTGATTTCCCTAATTTTGTTAACTCCATTTTTGCAATACTTAATGCGAATAGTTGTGCAATTTTTGATCTATTTTGGTCACAAAGATAATTTTAAGGCATCTACCCCATTACTTATGGATATGTTCTTGAGCGCTTCATATCAGTTTGCGATTATCAATACATTAGCCGTTCATCGTTCATTACATTTACTGGATCGTTTGTATATCGGTGGACCTCATGATGTTCGTGGATTTAGCTGGAATACGATAGGGGGTCGAGCGGATTGTTCATCTTGTGTTGGAGGAGCTACTTCTGCCCTTGGGGTTTTGCATATCTACAGGTATAAGATCATTGTCTGCTGTTTTGAATACTGCAATAATGAAAAAACGTTTTTTAAACACGTAAGTTACCAAAAAGTGACTGTATCTGCTTAATGAATATATGTGGAGACGTGACATAGATCTGTATCGATTTTTTTATAGCTCGAGCATTTCTTTTACATGTTAGGCACTGTCCATGACATTTAAAAATTCTATTCTAGTTAAAATTATTGTAATTTCTTTTTTTGAAATTAAAAAATCAAAAATTAAAGTTTTTATTTACAATGTAACAACATTTCAATTATTTGATGAGCTCGAGAAGAATCAAAACTAGATAAGTGTAACGTATTAGAAAATCAATTACCTATTACCCCCACGAGATACTTATCGTCTGGAAAAGTGTACCGAAAAATGAAAATCAAAAAGAAAAAAGAGGAAGGAAAGTGACTGGGAAAAATGCTATCACTATTTGATATAGTGTAAGTGTGGCTTGCATAATATTAAGGCTTTTCACTTTTCGGCTTTTGAAGTAGAATGCAGGAACAGTGTTTTTCAACATTCTATATTATTTCAGGCCTCTTTTTCCACCAGAAATGTTGTTTGCGCACGCATTTGTTTCCGGCGGAACTGTAGCATCTGTTGATTCTCAGCATCGACTGCGTGACATGTCAAATGCTTTACGTGTTACTGCTGGATTGGGGCTAACATTTTTAATCAAAAACTTTGTTCGCATTGAGTTGAATTATGTTATTCCGTTGAGGTATATGTCAGGTGATCAGTGTGCGCCATCTTTCCAGATGGGTGCTGGTCTTAATTTCTTGTAGTTAGCATCCTTGATGATCATTTTGAACTGTCATATTCATATAACTTTTCTGACCATGGTAGGAAATATTATGACATGGCATTGCAAGTAATATTGAACTGGCTCCTAGGGTAAGACAGTCTCCGATCATTGATTATAATTGTTTAATCTGTTTTGTAAAGTCTTGAACTAAAAAAAAAAATTTTTTTTTGGATGTGAAGCTTCCACTATTCACTTCAGGTTAACATTACGTTTAACATTTCACGTTAGAATGTTTTCCAGTAGAGTATTATGTTTGTTAGTGATTTTATTGCTGCGACGGTAACTATTTTGTCAGTTTTATCATTTAATTGTTATTAACTCATTATAAAATTCAAGTAATAAAACTGCCTATACCAGTGCTGGGAAATATTGTTTTATACAATATTTGATCCTTGGTTTTTTTTTTTTTTTTTTTTTTTTTGATTTCCATCTATCAAGTAGTTTGGTAATGCTATTTTTACTACTTTTACGTCGTTTATGGAATTTTTCTTATGCGGGCTGATTTTTCGATTGTAATTTTGCCTTATATTACAAACGTTTGCAAGAACTTCGTCATCTGAGTTTGACATTGACGTAATCAGATTACGTTCGTGAGAAAATTTGTTTGCATTGTACATTTTAGTAGTAATATTTGAATGTTTAAGCTTATGCGAACGTTGGTATTCGTTACTGGGAACGTGAATAAAGTGAGAGAAGTGCGCGCTATCCTTGGAGATCGGTTCACGGTAATGATTATAGTTTCACTATATGTATATGACTGTTTGTAAAAGTACTAGTTTGTAGGGAAGTGCTACAAATAGGTTTCAGGGGAAGTGAACGAAGTCATGTCGGAGTGGGATTCCAGTGTGATGGACAGTTCATCGTTTGAAAATCCCGGAAAGATATTTGAAAGGCCTGGCTGTTTGAGTGAAGCATCAAGGAATTCTGGTCTATTGGTTACAGTCCCTGAATTAATTCGTAATATAGCACCAATGCGTTATGGTTTACTTACTGAAGAATTTTACAAAAGTTCCAGTTCAGAAACTATGCAGAGTGCAGGAAATGAACGGACTGTTCCCTCTTCGTCATTATCAAAACTATTCTTTGATGATGACGAAGTACAATATATGGGATGCCAAAGTGAATCATTTCATGTGAGGAGCAAATTCTTTCTGTCTCTAAATTCTGCAAAATCTAATGGGAATAAAAGCTCATGTACTTCGCTTTCGAATTTACTGGATAAGGATGAAGGTATGTCTCAGTGCCACTCGAAGATGGCAAAAATTGGAGAAGTTCCAGTTTGGGAGCCGACTTTGAGCTTATTTCGTGATACGGAAAGAGATTGTACAATGATTTCTGGAAGGAAAGTTCATCGAGTTATTTTTTCTCCCGCTCAGGAAGGAGCTCTCCTCTTCAGTCGCAACAATCGCATCTCAACAGCTTCGTTGGCTTCTTATAGAGGACATCTACGCACCTCGAGGACATCCACATTTTTCGATCGTTTTCGCCATCGTCGAATTCCACGTGCGACTGCGCGTAAATTTCTTATAAATAGAGATCCAAAATATAAGGCAAAATATGGTTGAAATTAAATTAACCATATTTTGGTTGAAATTAAAATTTTACCAGATTGCTGAGCCATATTACCTTTTTTTCTTTTGTGATTCTCTTTGCGGACGACTTTTGTAGATATTCATCAGAAGTCCTATAAATGCCGAGTTTATTGTGAACAAAGTCGAAATGTTTGTGAATATTTTTCTTGGTTTTATTGGGAATATATGAACTTGATATACTGCATGAAGTTAGTGATGTTTAACAAAAGTGCTTTAAGATGATCAAATACCTGGTGTTTTTAATCGTGGATTTATTTTTTCTGTTTCATCTTAGGCATTAACATCACTGCTGGATAATGTAAAATGTGTTTGCTTTTATCTGGAAAAGTGTCTTATTTTTTCTTTCCATTTTTAGCTTTGTTAAGTGTGAATTTGACACTGTTTTCAAATAAATTATTTTCCTTTATGGAAAACATGTTCGCATATCTAATTTATTGGAGTCTCAAATTCGTCGGAAATGTAATCCACTTTTTTCCAAGATTATCGTATGCTGCAAAGTTGAAAAAAGCTTAGACGCTATTTTAATAAGATATTTCAGATTGAGAATGAAGACATCGATTTGCCGGAATATCAAGGAGAACCGTCTGAAATAGCTAGGCTTAAATGTTTAACAGCCTCACAACAGCTACAGCGAGCTGTTGTAGTTGAAGATACTTGTCTGTGTTTTAATGCTCTTGGAGGCTTACCCGGGCCATACATCAAGTGGTACTTTTTTTGACTTTTCAATAAAATTACCCGTTGAAATGTGATGAATTTTCTTTTTCATTTGTAATTTCTCTTTAGAAGGAAGGTTAAGTATAATGCATTGTTATAGGTTTCTCAAGAACTTAAAACCCGATGGTCTGTACAAATTGTTGGCTGGTTTTGAAGATAAAACCGCATATGCGCAATGTATATTTGCATATTGCGAAAATTCATCTCAACCTGTTCTCCTCTTCGAAGGTAAATTTTCATTAATCGATATTTGTTCAAACTTGAGTTTCTACTCGGTTTTATTTTGGTTCGATTTTCTTAATTTTTCCACGTGCACTGATGTGAGCATTAACAGTACTAGTTAGCAGAAAGTGTTGTAGTTCACGTTGTTGTTACCCTTAATTTTACATCTCAGTTCTCTTTAGTATAAGGCGTACTTCGTTCTGTTGAAGCCACCTAATGTAAATTTAGGCAACCTTAGAGAATTGATCATATTTTGTCATATTATTAAAGTTTCTTTTTTTTATAGGAAGAACGAACGGAAGAGTAGTTAAACCGAGGGGAGAGACGAATTTCGGTTGGGATTCGTGTTTTGAGCCAGAAGGTTTCTCGCAAACATACGCAGAAATGGGTTCTGCAATAAAAAATACAATCAGTCATAGAAGTAAGGCTCTGGCAGAACTGAAAAATTATTTTGAGAATAAATTTCAACAATAAAAACTTTTTTTATTTGCATTCCTACACTTTTCAAAAAAGGAAACATCAGGAAGAGCGATTGAGGAATTTTTGTGGTATGCTAAACTCGTTGGCAGTATGCTACGCTAACGCGATAGTGTGAATTCTTTAAAATTGACGTGGGTTTTTATTATCAGTGCAGCATATCTTTTATTAATGACGTATGCGATTCGAGAGCAGTGTGCAGAATTCATCATGACCTTAACTTCCGTTTTCATTATAGCAAAACATAATTAGTGGAAATAATTCCTATATGAACTTTTCACAGTACTGCGTCACTGTACAATTTCTTTAATCTCATCGACCACGCTATTGAGCATTCTTTGATGAGAATGGAAAAAAATTATAACTGTAAGTGACTTTTCGTTCATTAATTAAAGATTTGGACTATACCGCTTGAAAGCACGCTTTCGTGTGTTAACTAAATATTTTCCGCTAAGCAGTAAATATCACTTTGTGTTAAGTAGTGAATATCACATATAAAATCTCATATATATGAATGATAGGCAAAATTTCGTCATCATATATAGCTTCAACTGACAAGTCGGTCTCAGGAAGCAAAACCTAATTTTTCTTGAAGTCTTTAATGCATTTCGACGTGTGAACTATCTTGAAACAGTTTAAAGGATTGTGATATTTCATATGATACAGTCATTAAAAGATATTTTTCAATCATTTAATTGATTATTAAAAATTCCTTAACAACCCCAAACTACTTGAGAACCACTTCTGACTATCCAGGAATTCAATTCTCAAAATTGACTGGAATACCTTGAAGGGGGCCTTATCACTAGGTAGCATTCAGGACTGGATGATATTTTTCACAATGACCTCATGGTTCGTCTCTCGTTGAAGCATAAATAAATGATCACTTCCACTGTTTCGTTATTATTTGTGCTTAACAGTTTGTATAGTCTTTTGAAGTAGACAGGAAGATAAGTGTCGTGGTATTTATTTTACAATCTTGAACAATGTGCTGTCTCATTTCAATTATTTAAATTGTCACGGAAAAAAAGAATGGAAAATGAGAAGTTTTAGTGGATAAGGATATAAATGTTCCGTTTTGGACCAAATAAACTCATTAAATGTAAATCGAAATTGAAATAATTTTAATACTATTTGATTTGATCAGCTTTCAACTAAATTAAACCATTAATTTATTTATCATGAAATTTTGATGTGGTAGGAGATTAAGGCGCCATTACATTTGTCTTCTCAATCAACCCTTTATTCTTTTATATTGATGATAGTTTTTGTTTTACTGTTGAAGCTCATGTCCAATACGCTATGTGGTGCGACAAAATGACACAACTTTCTCGATCCATGTTCATGTTTATCACATGTTGTTATGCGATATATAATGCAAATGAATTGCAAAACGTCGCATATGATCTCGAAATTGCTGAAATACCTTTTGGACTCGAAAATTTGGAATTGGATGGTGGAACACTGATGGAAAAGATGCCGAAAAATACATTGCTGGTATTTAGATGATATTTTTTAGCAGAAAGAAAGTTTAAGGATCACAGTTAGACCACTCAGTGTGCAAGTCCGTAAATCTTATACATAGATTTAAAGTATATGTATATAATGTATCACAGTTTATTGAGATATGAAAAAGGAACATCGATTAAGATTAGTCTTTGTCAGATAGACTTCAATTTTATCTAATTTTAGTTGTAACTCTTTGTAAAAATATATCAGAGATGTTGCAGCGACATTCATTCACTTGTAGGGAATATTTAATGTTGACGAAGCGAGCTCAGCGGTTGTTGCTAGTGAATTTGGACAAAAGTTCATATGTTCATTGCCAAAAATTCCATCAACAAAAACGAGTAATAGATCTAAATCAAATTTAACCATGAATCTGATTTCTGATGTCATAGCAGCAAGCTTCTATGTGCAAAACTGTATCCGGAAAGTAAGGAATTTTGAGAAGACTTGATAAGAAGTAAAGAGAAACTAGAATTTATGTAAGACTTTTGTTGAACACCATAATAATTAGTCGTTACTGCTCCTTACAACTATATATGGTCATGCGTGAGTCCTTTAAAAAAGGTGGTTTCAGTTTTCTAACTGTCCTTTTTAATTTCACCTATATCTAGGGCCTTTTATGTTATATGAATTATGTTTATATTCCTTTGCTGTCCAATCTTCGATCTCTGGAGAAATGGTGTAAATACGAGTGCAGTTACTATCTACCGCTTCATGATATTTATTACCTTGAATTCATTTATTTAGTTCGAGTTGTTATACGTTCTATAAAGTAAGAATGTATCCATTTATAGAATACAGGATGGTGGACATATGAACTTTGCTATAACGAATATGTGCAACAGTTTCGTCTTGAAGGTGAGAATTGAAGTGAAGAACTTCCTCTTCATTTTCTTTACTCCTCGAAATATTTAAATTTCTAATGCTACTCGTATTTTTTAGGTTCAAAAATTGTTGGAAAGACTATTTCTTTAGGACATTATAAAAATAACTCGAACATAAATTTATCAAAACATGAAAGTGAAAAGCTACCGTATTTTGAACAAATTTATGATGATGGAACAGTTTGCGATGTGACAGAAAAGTCGAGGCTTACACGTGTATGGGTACGCAGCTTCCAATATTTTCTCGTAGTTTCAGTGAAGCTTATATTGAGGCTAAGCCTTATGTTTGAGAATTTGTTTTTTTGTTCCTTTGTCTTTAGCCCTTATGAATAAAACACTCAGTAAAGCATTTATTACGATGACGAATCATGTAAACAGAAATCAAGTAATTAATTTTTATCATTTTCTATACATTTTTCCGGAAGACGAATATTTAAGTCTTTTTAGAATGAAATTTTGAAGCAGAAATTTCACTGTTCTGTTTCAGTACATGTGTGATGAGGCGTTATCAACAAGCGAAGCATACATTGCTGATGTCGATGAGCCATCTTCATGTGAGTATATTATAAGAGTGAAAACAGGATCACTTTGTAAGTTGGATCTCTTTCTAAGTCAGAGTAAACCGCGTGATCCTTTATCTATCATATGTCGTCCTCTATTGGAGCAGAAAGCTGTCGAACAATACTTGGAAAAAGTAACTAAGGAAAAGCGACAAAAAGTTTGTTTCTGAAGTTTGTTACTTATTTTTCGTTATATATAATACCCTAACGGATAACTGATTGAAACATTACTTATTGCTCATACAAGCGTACTAGGCATAAAGTACGAAGTAGAACACAAAAGCTCCGCCCGTTCTGAGACTTAGGTTATAATTAACATAGGTTATGGATTATAACACCTTAAGTTTTGTATTTATTACTGAGATTGTACTATTATCTTTGAGTCAGACTAAATATAAATGCTTCAATATCAAAATCTTACGTATAAGTATACTCTTCATTCTTCTAATTTCTTTGCTTTCGTGTTTTTTGTAGTTATGCTTTTCCTTAAGTTAGTTTCCTTAACACGCATATGTTTAACACAGAGGTACTTTTGGATCAGAAATTTTTTCGTTATATTTGCAGTACAACTAGTGCAAAGGATTATTGTATCATGAAAAAATTGGGAACTGTGGTCATTTTAAGAGAGATTATACATTTTGTAATTTTCTTAATCCTTCAAAGTAATCTGGAAGGTGAATTTCATAGAAGTCCAGATGCAACAATACTTTTATTTTCGATCCAAAAACTTTACGAACTTTTAATTATAACGAACTTTGTACAGTGATATATTTAACATAAGCTAGTTGAAATTAATTTAACGAATATTCTATCAATGATTTTATTATGAATATTGAGCAGTAATTACTACTATTATATGAACTTTAATATTATAAAGGAGAATATTTCAAATTGATTTAAGCTTTTGTTCCTACTATTATGTGAACTTTAATGTCATATTGATTTAAGCTTTTGTTATCATTGCAAGTAGCAACACTCTCATATGTTTTCATGGTGTTGTCTTCATCGTTCTTCATCTCCTTTTTTGTCATTATACCTCTGCTTTGGAAATTATGGGTTTCTGGAACTTCACTTAATGCTTCTTCGTCAGAATCGTAGTTGAGGATATGGAGCTTTTTGTTAGCGTATTACTGTAATATTTGTAGGAAGAAGCTAAGAAGGAATCGGGACTTCTCATAGCACGTGCAGATAGCATTCAACGACAGCGATATGCTAGGAAACGTTTGACAAAAAGAACACCGAAGAGTATAAGAGAAATGGAAGAGACTGAGAAAGAGCTCAAAATGCTGTATGAAGATATAATGAGGTCAATCACGAAGCTGAATGTTGATCGTAAGATATATTTTTAATTGGTCATATGATAAGCTAGAACATTCAACTTTATTTGTCTATAAAATACTTTTAACATATCGAACAATATGCTTCTAATGCCTATTCTTTCTTTTCTTTCAGTCACAAAAGTAAAAGCAGACCTACATTTCATATACGACGACTTGCATGAAATGGAAAGTGAGTTCCTTAAAATTCCTATTCAAAGGACATATTTAATCACTAGAGTAATCAAAATAATTTATCAGATTGTACTGCAAATCTTTGCTACAAATTATTAAGAAATTTCAGCACGTTACATTACCGAAGCGGACGAGGATCGTGGAAATATATATTGGTACTTCAAAGATCCGTATTGGGATCGTAAATTTTTTCCCGTTACTTTTGCATACTCACGTGGCAGAAATAACTACTATCTGATTGTGTGTTTATGTTATGTTTTATGTTGCATATATTAGTCAGTTCATTAGACAGAGGATGAGGTTTTTTAATATTTCAATCCAACTTTGTTGCTGGTCGTATTTTACATAATAAAACAGGATTAGCAGTGAATATCACTTGAAATGAAAGTTATTATTATTATTAACAGATGTAAAGCGATTAAGCAAGAGTAATTTATTGTTTAACAATGATAGATTAGAGTGCACTGTCTTGATTTTCAGATGTCATCATTCCTGAAAAAAATAGATGAAGAATATGACGAGGAGAAGATGTCATACTCAAAATTTTTGAGCGATATCGATGAAAAATTGGTAACAGAAGCATATTTGAGTGTAATGATCGGTTCGTTAAGAAAGGCTTTTCATGAAGGTATTTTCCCGGACATTGTAAATGATGTGGATGATGTAGAAAATCCATTTCTGGCAGCAATATGGAGTAACGCTGAGAAGCAGCTTGAAATATTGCAGCTGTTTGAATACAAAGTTTTGAAATTGCTAAGTCGAGGAGTAGAATTTACGGCGGAAGATTTAATGTCGCATGTTGCTCGACAACTTCTTTCTGTTCGCGCGCTGGTTTGTTTTTAACTTTCAAAAAATAGTCTATTCCATGTTTTATTTTGCTTTAATATTTTTTCTATATTACTGACTTCCACTTTTGTATTATGGAATGAATAAAGCACTTTTCAGTTACTAAGTGACAGAAGTGATTATAATTTTGACAGAAAACTCAATTATATTGTGGTCGAAAAAATGTTTCTGAAATTTATGGTATTCTTTTTTTCTTGATTAGAATGCGAGAACAGTGCTGCAAGTAATTCCTGATAGCTTATACTCATTAATTGTTATGGCAGCAGTTTGGAATCCATTCAGTTTTGGTGGCATCCTGAAGAATGTAGTGAACAAATCTTATTTTACTATATTGAACATCAGTTTGTAGATTTCATTTGTTGCTAACAGTTCCAGGATTGGATTGCTTTCAAAATTACTGCTAACTTTTCTCGGTTGTTTGAAGTTCTGAATTATGGGGTTGTAGAAATATCTTTTTTGTTTTCTATTTCCTTATAAATTAAATCTTTTTAGCAAAGCTACAATCGTGCAGTATTGCGTTATGACAAAAAATCGTGGGGTAATTTTATGAAACACACTTCAGTCGAAACGTTTAGAATGTTTGAAAATCCAAATATGTTTCTCGCCCGAATTGAAGGTAAAAACCTACCTACCTTCAACCTACCTACCATCCAATAATTTCATTGTCTATTATGTCTTGTATGTTATTACTTTAACCCTTTAAGCATGGCTTTAGACATTGTAAGAATGAATCTATTCTTACAGTGAATTGTATTATAAATAGTTTTAGATTAAACGAAGCAGGTTTGCTGGTTTATCATTATAGTTAACTTGCATTATTTTGATCTAATTTTGTTTAGATTTGAGTCCCAAAAATGCTCATCTTTTCTACACGGATAATACTGCAGTTAAAGGTTGGGGAACAACTGAAGGTCAGTTTATTCATTCAGTATAAGGGTTTATGTAATTTGTTAGTATATGATTTGAATTATACTGTCGAATTTTTTGTCAGGAAGTCAGGAAAACATATTAATACTTTGTGTAACTAGCAAATGGTCTGTTTCCGTAAATTTTATACTTCAGAGGCGAGTATTGATAATAGAAAAGGAATCCAGAATGTCATGAGTAAGGAAGAAAAAGCTTCGCAATTAAGAATGCTTGAAAGAGCTAGAAGAAAAAACTTGAGGAAGAAGGTTGAGGTGAGTGGTTTGCGTTCATTCAACGCTTTTGTATTTGAAAACATTCTTTTTTTAGTGTTTAAGATAATTAAACTTTTCCCCTAAGATTTAGTGGTCTTCAGCAATTTAAGATAAGGAGGAAGTTTGGTTTCAAGTAGCTGTTTTTTATAGCTTTATTTGCGATCAAAGAAAACAGCAAAAAAAAGTGAATCAGATGGAACATTATTTCACGATGGTTTTGATGACTTGCGAAAACAGCTCTTTGTTTTCAAAAGTACACTAGAAGAGAAAATCCGTGAAACAGGTTTAATCCAAGGTTTGTGACTGTTTGGTTAAAGAATAAAAGTTTCGGACCCTTATATATAGTAGGGCTGTTTGGGTGTTCGCTTGTATTTGGAATGACCCTCTTTTGGTCATTTCACAGCTAATGGAATCTTCAATGCAGAGCTTACTGTAACAATAAAAAGTTCTAAACTCTCCAAAATCATTAAGTTTCAGGGGCGGAAGTCAAAGTGCAGCTGGTTTCTCCTGTAGGTAATGTTATCAGCAGTACGGGCGTCGGAGGATTAGATGGTGAGCGTGTAAATGCCGTGCTAAAGGCATTTTTCCTTGAACAGGACAGTGTTAGTGATGAGGAGAATCGATATGATCGACTGGCACGGGGTTATACTTATGGTGCCGGTGAAGAGGAGGGAGAGAAAGTGAGAAAAAACGGTGATGATGATGATGATGATTTAAAATCAAGCATTTTGCCTATTTTAAAACGGATCTTGCCTTAGGAATAGGAGTGGAATCTTTCTGATGTCAGTTTGTATATAGCCATTGAATATTGTGCTATAATCCGAAGTTGTTTTGATGTTGTTATTTTCTGGTTTGCCTTGCTCTTTTCATAACTTTGTTGTGGGTTCATATAAGTAGCAATTTGCACTCTAGTCCATGAAAAAATAAGTTTATTCGGCTTGATATTTTATAGTAATCTCGCGGTTGATTATTATTAATTTTATGCTGTTAACTGTATATTTTATGCTCCTTTTGTTTTAACAGGATATCTTTACAAAACATAATTAATTAAAAGCAACTTTGTGTGATTCTCCAACTATTATTCCCATATTTGGAAAGACAGGAGTTGTCAAGACTTTAGTTTTCCCTAGAGGAAGAAAGAAAATGAAACAAGAAATATTTAGAAAAATAATTATACATTCCATAAAACATTGAGTTTGTTCTCATCAGTGTTGGGTGCGAACATGTCGGTACTGTTATCTTTTTTATTTTGGAAGTGTAATATGCATATATATGTATAGTGAACATTTCACACCATCCAACTTTTTACGTAAAATGCTTCACGCTGTTTATATATACTTACGTTGCACTCTAACCGAGGAATATTATTCCATTTAATTATTAAAATATATTGAAAAGGAACATTCCAGAGAGAGAGCAAGAGGTAGAAAGGATGAGAAACACTATGTGGACGTAGGTTAGTCTGTTATACTCATACATCATATTGTGTATGTGTGTGTGTGTTGTGTGTGTTACGTTAACATCAAGCTGATCGATTACCATAGTTATAAACATATTGATTTCCTCCTTTAGTAGTGAGATCTCTCGAGATGTACGTATTTGACGTGCGGTTTACTGATTGCTGGTTCTGGTTGTATGAAGTATACCCGCTGGATCTTTCAGTGGTTGTCGATGACTTGATATTTTAGTATTTATTTTTTGGGTAATTTTTCTTTCTTGGTATTTTAGGGTAGTAAAACAGAAATTCTATTTCATATTTGTAAAAAAGATTCGCTTACATTACTGATGTGCGGCATGTGATGATATCTACTTGCTTTGTTCTTTTACGGTTTTGTGATGATAAATTGTGACTGATCGTTTGCATATGTCTGTTAAGAACGATGCCAGTTGCGTCAGCACCACCGTATCCTGATAGAGTTGTGGTAGAACAAGGAGCATCGACTAGAGCAGCTCCTGATGATTCACCACCGGCTTATGAGGATTCATCTAATCCGAACAGTAAGTTAATTCTCATTCTGATAATGGCTTGATCGTTTTTTTTTTTTTTTTGAAAAATGATCTGTTACGTGATATTTGATGTTCTGTTTGGAATGGATCATTAAATGATTCACAGCTTTGTCTTTGATACAAATACAATTGACATAGTTGTTGTAATTAGTTAACTTCTTTGACTTTCTTCTTCTGGAGGATGGAAGAAGTTTGAATAAATAACACATAATAGTAAAATTACAATCATGTGATGGAGAGTAATTTCAGGTATGCCGCCAACCTATGAATCATTGTATGGTGAATTTCGGCAAGTTGAGGACCCAAGAGGATTAGCTCAATTTCTAGCAAAAGCTTTTGCAATAATTATTAGTACAAGTAAGAGTTATTCATTTATTTCTTCGAAATCCAACAGGATATAAGTTATCGTGATATAAAAAGATGATTGATCATTATGATCAAAACTATTAGAAAATATACTCACGGAAGAACAAATAAACTGAAAAATAAATTTTCCAAATCACACTTACAAATTCATTGTAGAACAGCTGTACCATAATCGATATGTTACACTTAATAGTTAAATATCCCTGATCATTCTTTGTAGAAAATTTTGCAGTTGGTGGTTGATATATTTTCATTATCAAATTTCAGTGACCGCTGCGGTGCTTTTGGCAGTGCTAAATATCATTCCATTAGGAATGATAGTACTTGGCGGTTGTAATATCTACAGCTGTCCCGTGGAACCTTACATACCTATCTGGCTCATTGTCACTGGTTTCTTTTCTCTACTGAAGAGTGCAACAAATTTTTGTTATCGTGCTAAACGACAGCGTGAAGGTCGTCCGCCTTCTGCAGCAGACGTCAATCCAAATCCCTTTGATGGTCTGCTGTCATGTTTCTTACTCGTCTGGTTTATAATCGGTACTCTTTTTTTAACCCATTCTTTCCAGTATTCTTAATTGGTAATATTTTGCTAACACCATGTATTTCATCCTGATGGTTAATGGTGGTAGCAACAGTAAAGTTATTAAATTAAATTTTCAATCATTATTACCTCCTATAATTTGATAAAAAACTGTGTTTCCAACTAATAGATATTTTACTATTCAAGAGAAATCACTGCCATATGAATGAAAGTTCATTGCGGAAATAATCGTTTCACTTTCCAGTTGTTAATTTTTGATGAAAAGTAATGTAATTTGATATATTAAATCATATTTTATTGTGACGTACATTCTAGGGAAGCCTTTTTTTTTCTAAGGGATAATAGAGTACGTCCTAAAAGGACATATCCAGGAAGAAATGGAATTAAGGGGACATAACAAATTAAGAGACAAATAAGAAGTGAGACTTTATATGTTAGATTCAGGCAGGAACAAGCAAAAAGGAGTAGGTTTTCCAAACATTGTCAAAATTCAATTAGTTATTACTGGGAGATAACTATAATTATTAATTGATTTGGTGACAGCTTAGGTTTTAAAAATCAAAAACTAGTAGTTGTTTCCATAATCAGTTGAGAATGTGAATGAGGGTATTGCTTTGTTCTTTTTTATTTTTCATTTACGATATTTATATTTAGGATCAGTATGGGTATACTCAGTGCAGAAAGATGTACAACATAGCAATTCTCGGGATAGTAACTACTGCGATCAGTTCACTTATGTATTTTCGTTCGTATTTGTAACCCTGGGTTATGCATTATTAGCCTGCACATTGTGTTGTTTCTGTTGCTGTTGTTGCTGCATTTGTTGTCGGCCTAAAAAACAGCATGATGCTGGTGCTGTATAAATATTACTGTGATGAAAGCTATGCTGTAAGTCTGTAATATATTTTGTTTATTAACCGTTACACATTGAAAATGTGCTGTGTGTAGTAACTATCATTTTGCAATAAAATAATTATAATGTATATTTTTTTACAGGGTAATATGTCACTTTCGGTCAACAGTATTCAATAAAAATTTGTGTTAAGTCCATGGATGATTGTGGTCCATTTTATACTCGACTTCACAAATCATAATCAAAAAATAATGTCTATCCATTTCAAATGTTTAATGGACTTTCTGCTTGAAAACTGGATTTGACCGTCAGTGACACTTGTTGCTTCTCATGACCAATCCAGGAAGCAATTTTTCGAGTAGACTTGTTTCAGAATTTCTTTGTACAACTTGTATATTTTTTATATCCCTTTGTGAATTCATATTCATGTTTCGAGCGATTTATATGCTTATATATTCTAGTTGTTTTTTGGTTTAGATTTCCATAAATTAATATAATTTGTCTACACTAAAGAGTTTTCGTTTAGAAAAGTAAATTGCACCATTCCCATAGTTTGAATACTATATTTCTTAGCTTATGTTTGAATATCAATGAAAGGTAATATAAGAAAGCCACATTACATTGTGACCTTTACATTAGAGTATCATGTCATAGAACATTAAAATAAGTATGTCCGTTACGAGTCACTTCACTGTATGCCTATATTTTGTTTAGAATCTTCGGAATTTATTTATGTGTGGCTTTGCTGAACATGGAAACAAAGCACCTTTGATTATAATATAAATATAATAATCTCTTGCTTCAATAAGTGCAGCAGTTTTTTGCTGATTGCCAATAATATACTGTTAGTTTTTAATTTCGCAACTTATGTTAATTTAATTATATTGTTCTGAATATTTCTGGAATACTCTTGTAATCCAAAGGAAGTGAAAGAGAAAGGACAAAGGGCTGGTGTTAGTATTGAATTATAGAGTTTATGGGCATGGTGTTAGGGGTACTGTAAGGCCTCGAATTAATTGTTGACAGGTCCGTCTTATTGTCGGATGATTGCAGTAGTGACGGTGGTATTTCAAAGAAAGGGTGGTAAAGTATACGTAACTCAAGTATTATGAGGCGCAGTACTATATGTGTAAAAAGATATTGCAGTTAGGTCATTTGGATGTCATTTCTTTGTACGGGCAATTCATATTTATATTTGGTAAGATATTTGAATTTTTCTTTCATCTTTATGATTTTCCAGTATAGAATGCATAAAACTATGACAGTGATTCTGTTTGTTGATTTCTTTTATATCCTCTATATTGTATATAATTTCAGAATTCTTGAAACAACGGATAAAGTGAAATGATTGTTACTGTACAAACTAATCACTCAATCAATCAGATGTTTAGTATATTTGTACTTTATCAATTAATGCAATAACTTCCGATATAAAATACTGCAAGTTTCATTTAATTAATTCGAGGAATATCATAAGTTTTTTTGGAAGTGTTTATATCTGGTAATATTTGTTCTCTCTTTTGCTTTCTTTATTGCATATTTATTATTACAGAATCACTTTACCGTAATTATATATTATGTTTAGTCTGCTTATATGATATGCAATATATCTTTTCTGCATCAGTTTTTTCGATATCATTAAATTTGAATCAGTATTTTAGAATCTCTTATTTCTTTCTTTCGCTCATCTAAGATGTATAGTTCTAATTTTTATTTATAATCAACATACCTAGAAATATTGGCGTTTTACTATGCTTCAAATAATTTCTGTAGAGTGGAATGTATTTTAAAGTAGTTTTGTCAACACTGAGTTGCTGTAATCAAATTTAGTCCATGTAAATAATGTAGTCATTTAATTGATTAGAAGTTCTTTTCAAAGTTTATGCTATGTCATATCATCATGCCAATACTAAGATCGTATTTAAGTTGTAGTAGCATATGGATGTTTAGCTTTTTCTGATAATGTCTGCTGATATCTGGTGATTAAGGGATAGCATAAGAATTTTTCAACTACCCATCCGTCTACTTAATAATTCATTTCAACAAGTGAATTGGTGTTGGTAAAAAAATTTTTTAACTTTCATAGGTTAAAATTCTTTATGAATTTAGTAGGTATTATCTAAAGCATTATTGCAAATCACTTGATGTACTTGTATCGATTTCATTAATTTCCATTTTGTAGTTAGTTTGAATGCAAATATAATTCAGCTTTCGTGAAATCTTTGTGATATTTTAACTTATTATAGAGACTTTTACACGACTATGACTGAGATAAGCATAAAGTGATGATACATGTTTTCTATCGAGACTAAATATCAAATATAGTTTGTGAAATTTTTAAAAATAACTGCTTGTCGTTTGCAATATTTAAAGTATTGAGCGGCGGTCTTTATCACATACGAATGCTTTTGCATTCCTATGAGCAGCTCATTCAAATTTACTGTATGAAATTATCCTCACTGTTATTTTCATCCCATTTTGTCTTAAAATAACATCTAAGTTCTGATGTTCCTCTATATAAGATCTAGATTTGCTACATTTATTTTAATTTCAAAACCAAATCTATCCGTTTTGTTGAAATATTATATTCACTTATAGATTTGACAGTCAAATATTCATTCATTCAGCTAACTATTACAGAAGGACTAGATATGTAGGTGAGGTTCGATTTATTTACTGGTCGACTGTCATTGGTATAGAAATCAATTTGGAATTAAAACTACATCACTCCCATCTTATCAGCAGTCAGTTGCTTTCCTTCTTTTGATGATCGAATTTGCCTTTATTTCTTGTTGTGCAACTAAGAATTTATCATTTAAACTATTGCTAATAAATGTTGAACAAATATATCAATTGCTACTTTGTTTTGGATTCTAATTTTTATTCTTTCAATTATTCGATATTTTCAGATGATTTTTGTTCCACCAAGCACGAATTGGAAAGCATCGCATCACCTTATTGTTCCGCTTTTACATTCGTTTGAAAACACAAGTTTTAATGATTTAAACATTTTGTTGTATTTGCTATATTTTCATTCATTCACTTCATTTGTTCGTGATGCTTTAAAAAAAAAGAAATTTCTAATACATTAAAATAACATGAAACATCTCTCTATTTCCACCGGTTTTATTCTCTTTTTTCTGATTTTCTATCTACAAAAGCTGATTAATATATATTGATTGATTAACTTTGTTTTGCAGTAACTTTTTTCTTAAATTTCAGGTTGAAAATTTTTTAATCGTAGAAAGAGTGTTAACATCAACAGCATGGACGTAATTTTGGATCATTCATTTGGTGGTATCAATAGTTCTATTCCTGGAATCGGCGGGCCGCAATGTGTTAAGGTTTATTTCAGTTGAATTTTTATATTTTCAGTAGAATTTATCTAACGAGCTTCCTTTGAATTTTCGTATTAGTTCGGTCGTCAACTCCACTCTTTTTTTGAAATTCTAATACAACGTTACTTCCATCAAAGTCGATGAACGAGTCTTTCCGAGTTAATTCGATATCATTTGCAAATTCACTGTTATCCTTAGAAAAGAATACGCTGATCGAAGTAATTCAAAAATGCATCACTTTTTTTTTTTTTTTTTTTTCAAAGTGATTTTTTTGAAATTTTCAGTTCTTACCGTTATGGCAAAGAATAGCAGAAACATTTCTACTTGTGCCACTTGCTATTTGCGGGATAATTATTTCATCAAAAAATTTAGAAGTATGATGTATATTAAAAATATAAAAATATTAAATACTCACCATCATCTCAAGATTGAAATTAATTGATGTATATTGGTCACAAAACCGTTAGCATTCATTCAGGGATGATTTTACAATTTTTGTTTTCATTTTTAATAAATTTTTTACAGGGTTGGGACAGCTTGTGTTTGTTTTCCCTCTGTTTTTTTTTTTTCAAAAATATTTTGATAAAACTGCTTCATATTTCCAGTCGTTTGATTTTTCAGCCATTTCTTCTCCCTATTTCTGGAAAAATGCTGTCTTCTATCAACGAGAGCGCTGTAATGTTCGACGACGACAAAAATCTTGTCAGATATTGTGTTCTTGCCTTTTATTGTTTCATTTTTGGTTCTGAAATAGTCTGTAAATTGGTTAGAAGGTACCGTTTCTAATCTTTTACTATTGTTACAATAGTACGATTTAAAATACTGAATTATATCCAAGACAGCTAGTAGTAACTTCATATTTTTCATTATAATGTCTGTCGAGAAATTTGTACGTTTGCAAATAATGTATGTAAGGATGCTTTACTGAGTGTATGTTATACGGCTAGTTTTATGTTTCATGGTAGTTAAAAGATTGTAGTGATGTTAATCCGTTCCACCTGTTATCGATTGAATGAGTAACTAGTAATTTCAGGGTATTTGTATTTATATTAAATCCATGCCATATCGCAACGACAATACAGATATTGATTCTCGCAATAGGCATCACTAATCATAGAATGTATTATCTGTTCCGTTTTCAAATGTACTTATTACCTGGTGCACTGATTGGTATTATACTGCCGTCGATAAATTCTCGTGTCGTGAGTATTTTTATTGAAAATGATATTAAAATATAAAAAACCTTGCACTAACATATCGTTATCTAAATTAAGAATAAGTATAGGACGAAGATTTGTCCTTTTATAACTTTTTTTTTTTTTCCAGTGTGATAAATATGTGCTAAGTACGTTTGATAAAGACTGGATTTATTCAAAAATTTTAAATTCTCGAACAAACATTGAACATTACAATACATAATTTTTGAAAAAATCAGTCTGATCAATTCAGTGGGCACATTTCATAGCGATTAACTGATATGATTTATTTTCTCGAGTTTTATTATTACTATAATTGCATAGAAAACGTTTTCCAGCTTTTTGTTGAAGTACTTATATATTTTATTCAACATGTAGCAATACTCATTGTCCCATTCTTTATAGTTTATGTCAACGGTATGATTTTATCTTTCTTAAAATCGTAAATTTCTAAAATAGACACCGTATTAACGTGTTTTGTGAATTTCACTTTTATGTTCCTTCTGGGAAAATGGGAATTTTTTTCTTTCATTTCTCTACTTCTATTGCAGCAAATAGAAAATTATGAAAATATCATTATTAAAAAAGGGTTGCAACAAGCTTATGACATTTGCTTTCAGGTACTTTCTTACTGGAACCATTTCAAAATTTCGTATGGGCTGTATTAAGTTTCTCTGTCATCCTTTTCTATCATTTTACTATATTACAAATTGTTGGGTTGGTTAGTTTTTTATCAATAGCTTTTATAAGTTTTGGTACAAAGAGAATTTTCATAAATTTATTGAAATACTTGGTTTACATCTTTAATAAATGATGATCATTTTCATTTCTTTAGAAACTTTGCTGAAAGATAGCTAGAGATATTGACATTCCTTCGCTGAAAATTGCTTCATAATATTTTGATGCAGTAATAATAAATGATATACATATGAAATAAGCGATTTTAGATAACGGAAGCAAATATGGGCTGTGTAATATGCCCGGCAATGAGTGATCCATTCTATGGTCGATTCTATCGCTTAGCTACTGTGATTCATCAAGCAATTCTAATCCCTTTAATTACAGAAGTTTTTAGTGTCTGTATCAAATGTGTCACTGATGTTACTCATTTGAATAATGTTATACGGAAATCGAAAAGATTAAGTGGAAGGAAGAAGTAGAGATGAGGGCATATGGATACATATATTTTTTTGAATTATGGATAACAAAGGACAAAGTTTAAAAATACATATAAATTCAAAGCTATAATACTGAATTTTCTGTTTTATATAAATAAACTGATTATTGTATGGGCTGTTTATTGTGTATTGTTGACGTCGAATGTCGTTATTTATTTGATAAAAAGCATTTTTTGAATTAAACAATGTGGTTTAAATTAATATTTTATTATCACTCTAATGTTAAAATCTGATACATTTAGTAAAATGTGTCAAATTATATTTTAACGGTTCAAGCATATACAACAAAAACCATTCTAAATTGTTATGGTGTAGTCGTGAAGAAAGTTTGAAATTATTCAGAAATTAAATCGATAGAATGAATTTGTGTGCTGCATATAGAAAATACAGTTTGTAAAATACATATACTTGTTATCTGTTACTTTCCTCTTGTTTATTTATATGCCATTTGAGGATCATGTGTAAAACACGACATACGGAGGGGCATTGCTTATATTTACTACCCTTTCCAGTATGATTATTGATTATATTGCGAATAATTTTGCTTATGCTGTTTGTTCGAGCGGTCGTATCTTTCAAGTCTTCTCCTTTCAGTGTTCTTGCTTCATTGCATCAGTCATCGAGTGTTGTTATATTTGTAACACAGCAAAAGTTTAGTTTGCTAAGGTACACTATTTACTGATATTTTTGCATAGGGATTAATTGATATCATCCAATAAGCATCATTTCATTACCATTACCATTACTGTGATTAAATTTAGCTGCAAATAATATTCCACTTTCTCTCTACTTTAATTGAAGTGTTTAGTTGTTCCAAAGTACAAAGCCTGAAATAGCTGATTGTTATGAGACAGAAATGTCCTCTGTTTAATATAATTGGTAGTAATCTTTCAATATAACAACTGATAGTAATTTCCTTCGTGTCTTGCTTTCATTTATTTAATCGAATGTTCCATCTTATCAAAAACAACAAGTGGTCGTTCTACGTATAGCAATGCAAGTTGATTTGTAATAGGTGCAGTTTGCGTCTTATCTGGGTCAAAATATCTTTTTATTTATAGGTTTTGTCACAAGTGTGAAGATTATGACTGTATTTGATATTGATATTTCGGTTTTTAATTGTCTGCAAACCATTCGAAATAAGCTGATATGATATTGTGAGATGGATTTCATTTTCCTTTTAATAGCAATTTAATGGATGCCTACCTGTCCCTGCATAAATCTGTATAAATGCCTATATAAATCTCATATCCTAGGCTCTTTTGGTTTTGCTGACTAACGAAGAATGATGATTCTAGAAAATATGGTTGGTTTTATAGATAAGTCTTAAGCTGTCAATTTTAGATGTAAAGGAAATTAAAAAATAATCTAACACTTGTTTTACTTTATCCTGTGAAATATCCCGTACTCTTCCATGTGTTTGTAGAAGTTTAATGCTTCAGAAGCTGGCACTTTTATTGACGATAGCTGAAGTTATCCACAAAGAAAGAAGGATTAATAATGAGGGATATATATATATGTAAATTATTCAAAAATAGAGTTATCAAATCCTAAATCTCATTTTTATTGAATAGACTAATGAGGAGTTTTTTCGCATCGGTAATATGTTTATAGTGATATGATCAAGTATGATAAAATTTAATTATACCAACCGCTCGATCCATTTACTTATACTTATATCTTTCTGAATTATCTAATAACTAATGAACTAATTTTGAAGCTTGACATTTGTTATTGATTTTTGTTTCCTGCGATAACGAATGATTTACTCCGAAGAAAATTATCATTTTGTTCAGGATTGGCTAATTCATTCTTTCTTTTTTCTTTTTTTTTTTGTATGGCTATAATGTGCACGACAATGCATTATTTGCTATTAATGATCGTTGTAATGTTATATCCAATATCTACGGAGCAGTGAGTTTCATTTTTATCTATTGGATATCACATTCATTATATTTATCTTACTAAACACTTAACAGTATGCTATGGTAAATTATGATACAGAACATGTTTTTTTTTTTATTTAAATTTTTAATTAAATAATATCTATCACATCTTAATATATTCTATCATTTGATCTTGGAAATACTCTTAATCTACTAATCTAGTGAAATAAGAACTCCATTATATTGTATTATTCAGTCATCGCCGTATGGGTTAGGAGGTATGTGTAGCATAAACTGATGAGAATGTCCCAATAGTTGTTGTCTTACTGTTTGAGGATATGTAACGGAAATTGACGGGATGCTTTTATTACTTTTCCTTATTGTATTACAACTATTATTATGGATATTTTTTATAAAAGGTGAACAGGAATAGATTGAAAACGAATTTGCGCTGCTTAAGTGGTGTTTAAATGTTATGGGATTCGAAGCAGGACGGTATTAATCGTGGGTTTCGATGCTCAATTAAATTGTATTCTGAAAAAAATGAGATAGAATATCTTGTAAGAATGTAGTTGAAAAGATGTAGCAGATATATTGCAAGCTAATTGTAGAGGAAGTGATACCACGATGTCGGTGGAAGAAGCATTCAAAAAATACCAAGTTGTGCCGGATGTTATATCAATGGTTCCTACCAAACTGATCAATGTCGATTATAGTGGTGGTGTTAAGGTAAATTCTTAAGTAATATACAGTATATGAATGCAGATATGATTGAATATATGTTCAAAATCAGCTGATCACACTACATTAATTGTCTGTCTTTTTGACCTATAACAAGCAGTAGAAAGGTATTTCAAAAACTCTTTCAGCGAAATTCAAAAAGACTCGACTGTAAGCGCTATAGTAAGTTTGATTAGAACACGCTTTTACATTTGTCATAAATCGTTTCATTTTTTATGATGCAAATTATTTCTTGAAAATAAAGAATAATAGTATTATAAAACAGGAAAAATAAATAAAGAATAATAGTTTGGGAAAAGATTTAAAAAATAAAGAGTAATGGTTTAAAAATAACTAATAGTTTGGAAAATATTTAGGTGAATCTGGGTAATGAACTTACGCCAACACAGGTGAAAGATGAGCCAAAAGTATCATGGGATGCGGAAGCTAAAAGCTTATACACACTCGTTATGACTGGTACTGAGTTATTTAAACTGCTGTTAAATGTAACTGTTGGAAATTAAGCTGTTAATTAAAACCGAAATTTTTAGATCCAGATGCACCATCTCGACAAAACCCTAAATTCAGAGAATGGCACCACTGGTATGTAATTACCTTCATATTGATTTTTATGATCTAACCTTTCCAAATTTTATTCGCAATACTAAAAAGATGTTTTGGACATAAATCCATAATCATAGGTTGGTAGCCAATATTCCTGGGCAGGACGTTAGCAAAGGTGATGTGTTTTCCGAGTATATTGGATCGGGTCCACCAAAAGGCACAGGTAAATAATGATAATATTATATTTCCATGAAATATGATTAATTGCTGGAATTAAATGTCTTTCCTAGCAAATAATTACAGATGTGTTGAATCTCTTAATTGAACGCTATGTTAATATCGGTTTCATTTTTAGGACTTCACCGCTATGTATTCTTGGTTTACAAACAACCGGAGAAAATCGTGGATGTCCAACATGGGCATCTTACTAACAGATCAGGAAAAAATCGCGCAAATTTCAAAATTGCCAAATTTGCAGAAAAACACAAGTTGGGAAATCCAATTGCTGGAAACTTCTACCAGGTTAAACCCAAATTTGATTCAGTGCATATAATTTATCAAGTTCTAAGACATTTTAAGCACAAGAAAATAGTATTATAATCAGAAGTGGAAGGAGTATTTTGTTTGGATTTCAGGCTCAGTACGACAATTATGTAGCCAAACTGTATGAACAATTGAGCGATTGATAGTTTTAATTTGTTTTCACAACATTTAAATGATGTCATTTTTTCTTTATAGTTATTTCGCTAATTCCGATCCAATGAAAAATAAATATTTTTTACCATGTTTGTTACAAACAAGCAAGTTCAGTTGTAGCTGGTACTTCACAAATATGTTTCATTGTTTTCGAGTATTTAGCTTAAGCTATTTTGCTACTTCTTTTCCTCCGATAGAGCTAAATCTTATTCTAGGAATAGATACGCTCTATTCCTAGAATAAGATTTAGAAGCTTAGTGATAAATATAAAATCATAGTCGACCAAAAGGACCATCTGGATTTTTAACTCCAAATATTTCATCCTCTTGAATGGCTCCTCGTATGGAACCATTGGAAGAATGGAAGGGAATGGGTTAAGTCTTCCTAACTTCACTCTATAAATAATTAGAGGAACGATGAGTTATTATTTACAAATAACTGAGAGTCTGTACGGTTAAAAGAATTTTGAGCTGCAATTTACTCCTCAGTTCCTACACGGAACATTGCTCAAATAATGGTTTGGTGGACTCTAAAACGATGTCAGAAAACGATGTTTTCTGACATTAACGATCTAAAACGATGTTTGTTGTTGTTCAGGGTACGCGCCTAAGAAGGGTGCGTGTACGTGAGTTTAGTTAGGTGTGTGTATGGGTATGCGTGGTTAATGGACACGTATATGTAGTTAGGAAATATGTGAATGTGGGGAAAATAAAGCGGCGAGTTATATCAGGATTTATTCGCCCATTTCAGTAAGCGATGACGCTGCAACGATTCTGTACGGTTGGATCACAGTTACATCGCCTTAAACTTGTTCGCACATATAATTCCACCAGTGCAATATTACGATACTGTAGTAGTAAGAGTACAACATCAGACGATGATAAGCTAAGAGCGTTACCTCAAGGGTTACAGAAATTGGTTCGTTGATGTTTGCTTTTTATTTTATCATTTTGTAATGCACACAAATTGTGTGTATAGAGTTGTTACACTTATATATTACTTGATTAGCCATATAATTGCAAATTATGTGATTTTTTTTTATTTCATGTTGACTATTTAATTACAGTAAATATTTTCGAAATTGGATAGTATTTTTAATTTCAGTTTTCATTTTGTTTGAATACGTTGTTTTAACTGTCGATAGCGAGAAAAATTATCAGTTTTATTTTTGACTGTAATTACTACATAAAAGTTATCTTAACGCTGTCATCCTTCCTAGTCTGCAACTTTCTGTCTGTCCTAGGTTTAGCTTAAGGTGATGGTCCTCATTTGTATTTAATGATTGCAGGCTAAAATAAAAGTCGAGGACTGGCATCACATTAATCCTGGTCCTCCCACGACTCACGATGATATACCAATTCCCTTCAAAAAATTTGAGGAGGCGAAGAAAGATTTCATGCCGACCTTCAATTTGTATTTCTATGGCTCTTTAATACTTTTTGCTGTAACCTTCTATTGGGTAAGTTTATCTTAAACTTGTTTCTTTGCATCTTTTAACATTCTATATTATGGTATTGTAAAAGATTTTTATGAGACGACCATCATTTACCAACCAGATAGGTAATAGTTGTTGCCAAATAGGTAATTGTAAAAGTATCCGAATATTATGGAGTTCTATTAAGAGTAATTTTAGGTGTTTTTTATTGAAGACATTTGGCCATATAATGCACGAGCACCAGTGAAATCATATCGAGAACGGCATAAGCATAAAAAGCTTCCGGAGTCGCCAAATGATGATAGTTCAGGTGGCGGCAAAACGTTAGCAGGCGCCGCTGTGGCTGGAGCAGCATTGGCTATTGATAGTAGCGAAAAGGTCACAAATTAGTCTGCTTCCCACTTTTTAATCGCTTTTTTAAAACTAGTTCCATTACCGTTATATTTAAACCTCTACTGATTGCTCATTTCTTTTAAATTAGTATATTTTTTTTGTCTTAGCTTTAGCCTTGCTTATACTATTGTGTTTTTTGTCTCACACAATCACCTTTAAACAACGAAGAGCACTAAAAAGCTGTATCTCGTCAAATACCTAAATCGGGTGTCCTTTCTAAATGTTAGTTGAAAATATTGTTCAACCTATCACTTTTACTACTCGAGTTTTCTCATTCATAACTTAAAACTGACTATAAAAACACTTATCCCTCAACAGTTTTGTAGTTGAATAATTTTTTGTTGCGCGACTTCATCTATTTCGAATGGCGTTTATAATTTCATTATATTCTTTCTACCTGCGGTTTGAAATTCAGTTCAGTTCCATGTACAGTTGCAGCCATATATTTCCTCTGCTTCTCCCAATTTTGCGTCTTTTTAATTAATCATGTTGTTTTCTTTAACTCTGGGTAGCTAAGAATTGCTGAATAATTGTCGATAAAATTTTGAATGTGGTTTATTGTAATTGCATTGGTATTTTCCATGAAAGGCGTGACATGATTTTGGGCGGAATCAAGTGACCAAAGTATATTTTGATTTTATTCGTAGAATTAAAAAATTTGTTGAATCTTGGCAGCAACGATAACAGAATAATATTTGAAAATAATGCAGTCTTTAAACTTACTCGTGATTATCGATACAATCTTTGTTAAGTACATTTTCTGGGTTTAATTCATAAATGAAATTGGCATGGTCTGCTCATAAAAAAAATAAAATGTGACGTGGAAACATAAAGTAATTAGGATTCTTTTAGGAAGTAATAAAAGCAAACGCTGGTACTGAGGAAGATGTGAAGGTTGACATTTCTGCGGACTCTTCCATATCTTCAATCAAGGGGAAAAAAGCAGTGGTCAATGAGGATTCTATAGTGCCAGAGGAAACAAGTCCAGTGAGACCGGAAAAAGGGACTGTAGTGGACTCGAAAAAATTGCCAGAAGAAATACCTTATTTGCTAATAGGCTCCGGCGCAGCCTCGTATTACGCAGCTTTGGCAATCAGGGCTCGGGATCCAGATGCCAAAGTGCTGATGATAGGCGATGAAAAACACTTACCATACAATCGACCTCCGTTATCGAAGGAGTTGTGGTGGTATGGTGAAGACCAGGTTAGTGTAGAATTATTTTTGGGCATGGGTCCGTAACTGCTGCATCTGTTGATGATTGGGATACGTTGATATGTCATTCTGGAATATTTAAGGAAATTGTGGGTTTTTTTTTTTTTTTTAGGTGGCTGAGACTCTGGAATATAGAGGTTACAGTGGAAAGAAGCGGGATGTATATTTTGAAGCGCCAGGATTTTTCATACTGCCGGGTGAAATTGAGTCGGCTGAACATGGTGGTGTATCGTTAGTCAGTGGACACCGTGTTGTTAAACTTGACTTGACAACACAAACAGCTTATCTGGATGATGGACGTTCATTGAAATACCAAAAGTGTCTTATAGCTACAGGTGAAAGTTTAAATTTATTAACTATAAATTTTTTTTCGGTCGTTAATTTCTCGTGTTTTGTCTTGTTGTAAGGAAACTTTATTATGACTACTTGTTGATGGTTATTCATTCGCAAAAAAAGTCACAGATTTATTCATTTTTTTGCATCTAGAGGACTTATATCACATTTTACTAAAGAACATTTCAGGAGGATATCCAAAATCGTTGCCAGCAATTGAAAATGCTAGCGAGGAAGTAAAACGAAGAGTAATGTTCTTCCGAACGGTTTGTTTCCGTTTCGTATGTTTTTTTGTCATTTAGAATTGCGTATATCTTTAAATTTGTCATTTACAGATTGACGATTTCCGCAAATTGGATGAAATAGTACGAAAAAGTAAATCTATAACGATTATTGGCGGTAGTTTCTTGGGTTCAGAGTTAGCAAACTCATTGAATCGACGCTTTGGAGAGCAAGGGTTGCAAATTTGTCAGGTAACTTTTGATATTAAATATCAAAAATACGCTGAAGTTGCGAAGTTTTGCGAAAAATAAAAAGCATTCATGAGAGTATTCTTCTTCTTCTTGCTTTCCATATCTATTTTATTTCAACATATAACCGTGACTTATTATATACTAACTCGAATTCTGACCAAAATACCTTATGATTATGAAAATCGAGTCTAATCATGTGCAGATTTTCAAAGATGTAACTGTATAGTCAGAAGAAGCGCAATATGAAACATAATTTGTAGTTATTATTTTTTTAGTGCATTGTACACTTGGGCTCTTTACAACCACTTCTTTCATTTTAGATATTCCGAGAAAAAGGCAATGTTGCTGAGATCTTACCGCAGTTTTTGAGCAAATATATAACCAGCGAGCTACGTAAAAGTGGTATTAATGTTATGCCTGAGAAGGAACTTAAGCGTGTAACAATTGATGAAAGTGGTAAACTTCGCTTGCAGCTAGCAACAGGAGGTATTACGATTTTATAAAGAGTTTAATGGTCAAAAAGCATATATAACTTAGGATTTTATTAAGTTTATAGTACTATAACACATATTACACTTATTATTGCTGATTATGGTCAGTAAGGAATTGACTTTGCTTTACAGAAACTATAAGCACGGATCACATCATTATGGCAGTAGGCATATGCGCAAATACGGATTTGGCAAAATCATGCGGTTTGGAAATTGATCCCGTAAGGTTTTTTTTTTTTCAGTACTTTTATTTTTGAAATAGGAGTACTTTTTTTATTTCTAAGTAGTAAAGGCTTAATAGCAGTTTCTGTGAATATTATTATTATTATCTTTCTTAATTTTATTAATTCCACAACAGATGAATGGGGGTTATGTAGTTGATGCCGAACTGCGTGCTCGGTCAAATGTTTGGGTTGCTGGCGATGCAAGTAGCTTTTATGATGTTAAACTTGGTCGAAGAAGAATGGAACATTGGGAACATGCACAAATAACCGGACGTCTTGCTGGTGAAAACATGACCGGAGGTATTATTGTGTTTTCGTGCAACCTTTCATACTTTGTACCGTTTTCATCTCAGGATTAAATTTGGAAGTAGTTCTATAAACTTCCCTGTTAAATAACTTTTGTTTTTCATATGCTATGAATTTATTTCAGCGAACAGAGCATATTGGCACCAATCTTCTTATTATTCCATCTTAGCACCAAGTGTTCATTTGGAAGCAGTTGGTAGGACTGATTCAGGATTGAAAACAGTGTCAGTTTTGGCAGATACTAAGGTGAAACAACTACTTCCACTCTTACTTTTCATTTTATTAATATCTAAATTTAAATAAGAGTCGTTTTTAAACTTTATTAATCTTTTTTCTTACATATTGTATCAGAAGCGAAACTCTTACTTTTTTTAACAATACTCTTACTTTTTAACAATATTAAATTGTTAGGCTGATGAAGTCGAAAAAGGAGTTGTTTTTTATCTTGATGGCAAAGTTATCGTGGGTGTATTATTGCTAAACGTTTCTGGTCCAGGTATTGAGGTCGCAAGACGGCTTATTGCAGATGGACGTGAACATGACAGTTTCAAAGAAGTAAGTTATTTATAGAAATTTTGCAAATGCAGAAGTTCAATTTAAATAGGAATTAGTTTCCGTTCAACTGCATTTGAAGCGGACTCTCTGACAGAGATCCATATTCTTAAGTTTCAAATATGTTTCGATTTTCTACATGTCAGTTTCAACCCTCTAGTTTTGTTTCATTAATTTTTTTTTTTAATTTCTCTTAGCTCTTATTTCAGTATATATTGACTTTAGTTCTTAGATTTCAGACATATGCTTTAGTTGTAAGTCAATTTTATTTAATGACTAAACGAAATGGAAACTGTCAGAAATGCAACTTCAATTTATACCAATTGTCGATAGATAAATAAATATATAGACATATAGGAATTTTTGTATTTAGCTTGCGAAACTGTTCAATCTACACAAAAGCAAAGCGGATGATGAACAAGAGGGATAATCGTACTAATGGGTTATGCTATTTGATTTGCACGCAAGCTCATATTTATTTCAACTAATTTTTGTATCATTTTGCTGCTACATTCATAATTATGTCTTTTATTTTGGCAGATTTAAATTGTTCATTGGCGTTTGTATAGATAAGATTTATGCCTATTTTATTTGCCTCGTGATCATTTGTTCATATTCTCATTTGATTGCCAGACATTGAAGGAGCTTCACGCAGTTTACGCTAAGAATTTCGAAACTTGTTATATGGTATAAGCTTTACCAATAATAAATTTAGCATCTGATAATATCTAATCGTTTGTTCTACTACGGGTTACTCCTTGTTGATAAAATAAAATGTTGTACAAGGATGCCATTGCTATTTCAGCTTTTATATTATGTTTTTTATAAATCGATTATAAGTTGATAATATGTTGTATTTTTATTTAATACAGCATTTGTTATTTATGTCGATATATTTGTTGTTTTATGAGTTTATAACCTTAATGTAACCTAAATGTTATCCTATGAGATCATAGCATAAACTAAATATACATCATTGAAATTATCTTTTCTTCACAGAGGATATATCCTTTATCTCATGTCATGCTTTTCACATATTATAACAAATATTACATTATCTTTTGACTGGTGATCAGCTTCAATCATCTTTTCCAAATTTAATAGTGGGAAAATATCCATATAGCCATCTAATGTAATATGCAACATAATATATCTTGAATTTTTTTAAGACAAAAAAAAGATTGAAGTATGTCATGTTGCATATTAAAGCGAGATCAAGCAGAGTTGAGTATATCAATGATGTAATTTATTGGTAATCTCTTCGTATAAGTGCAGGAAATAATAAAACTCGAGGAATAGATATTATATTAGAATACTTAGATTATATAAAAAGTGTTACATTAGTATACTTAGGAGAAAAAGTGTGATCGATAGCAAAATTCGGGACTGTTATCCGTATAGGATTGATTATCATTTACTTTTGTCTTTCGGATATACATCTAAGAAGTCTTTGTATCTTTCATCGACCATAAACGACTGATGATAGGAGGCGGGATGTGTGTATTAATTTGTTTGTTCCATGGAAATTGCTTTGAGAGGCCTGAAAGTCTGCTATATTCATGTAAGTGCAGGAAATAACAAAACTCTGGCAATGATGAGAGGAGTAGTTATGTTCGGGGAAAAAAGTGCGAAAAGCAGTCATTTTGACGGCAGTTATTGAATATTGTGTCAGTTGTAAATTAATGATGATGATGACGGTGATGATGATAGCGATAATGATGAAAGTAATGATGATGATGGCGGTGATGATTGTGTTTGATAATTTGGGTGATTTTTATTGGTTGATTGATGTGATTGTGGCAATGGCATCTTCTATTCCTATTATTTTTGTATAAAATGTTGTATTGCTTGGTTGTCTTCCAATATGTCTGCAAAGTTTTTGGGGACATCCATTAAGCGACACAATGGCGCTTTAAACTATCATCAATTCAATATTTACAATTGGAAAAATTATCATTTTATCCTGTGTTCCTTATTTCATTTTGAACTTTTTCGCCTTTTCTTTATTTCATCTTATTCATATCAGTTGATTATTCAAACTCAGAATAATCTGTTTTATTCAGGTTTCCCTTTTATTAGTCTAAAAATTAAATAACAACTGATCAGTTTCAACATTTCATCATATTTTTCATTCTATTCACAATATTATTTTAATAAAAAGTAAGAAAAAATAAACTTATTCATTCATTTATTCCCTCATTTTCCAGCTTCTTTGTCATTTTGAGAATATTTTTAGATAGAAATATTTTTAGAATAAGGAGAGAATAAATGCGATTAATAAGTACTTCTCGGTACACTGATTGCCAGTATTAGCTGAGAGGATATTTTGGTCAACAAACTAATAGTGCTTTTTTTCTATTTTCAGATTGTTATGATAAAGCAATAATGAAAGCAGAGCTTATAGTTAAATTTACAACTCATAAATGAATTAAATGATGGGTAGGTAAGTAATAAAAACATAAAATGTTATGTGAAATACATTCATTTTTTTCTTTTCCGCATTTCACACCATAAATCAGTTGATTAACAGCGCTTCTAGCAGCATAATACATACGATGTTTTGAATTCGATGATAGATATAAAGATGTTAGATGAATTCCTTCCAATTAAATTGGCTTGAAGTCGAATTAATTCTTAGTCGTTTTATAAAATGGAGATGTATGTAATGAAACGATATGCCGAAATGTTGAATGGTGTGATGCATCATGCTGTATGCTTTGTTCAGTGCAGATGATTTGCTTCTTCCAGTGCACCACGGTCTTGCTGTATCTTACCTGAGAATTCCTACCCGAGAAGCTGAACCAGAGGAAGACGATGAAAGGAGAATCGCTTCCATTTTGCTGCTACTACCCTCATTGTATGTGTATATGTAGTAGTAAAGATGGTACAGGGCGGGTATGTCCTTCCTATAGTTTAGGTGTGGTTGCTAAACTGAATGTCTTCCAGATTTTGCTTCCTTTCTCTCTCTCCCTCTTTCAAAGCATTCCTTTGCTCTTGCTCATCCATCTTCCAAAGTAAAACTTTCACGTGTTCAACTGATGAATTATTGGAACGCTAACCGATTCATTACACTTCCTCATCCAATTACACACACACACACACACACACATAGACATCTCCGCAGAAATGATGAAAGGTAGTATTGTTCGTTATTCGGTAGTGGTTATGTTACATTTGATGGACAGAATGGATAGCAGGGCAGAGGGTTCCATCTGTTTAAATCATCGATCCCTGTTCTATCTAGTCATCATTAGCTGTAAGGGTGAAATGATGATAGCTAGTGCGATCGGGTCGGGTATAGATTAAATCGATGCTTTTATCATTCTTATTGTATTTGTATGTTTTAAATTTGCTATGTTTCTATTGTATGCATGATATCGTCCGGAAATGGATTTTTATTTTCAAACAGTTACATGATATATTGTAGTCTTCATTTATATTCTCTTTATTGTACAGCACAAGGATGTTTTAACAAAGTTATCACGTTAATTTATATTCATCCCTAGGTAAAATTTGATGCAGTCATTGCTCGGTAAGAAGAAAACAGCCAAGATGGACGGCATGAATAATATTGTGGAAATACTGTGGAAAATTTTATAATTTTAGCATTACATTTATATTCGTCTTATTTATCAAGCGAGATCTTTCTTATTCATCTAAAACAAAATGAAAAACAAATAAAATATTTTGGGAGCGAAAAAGAGAGGGAGAAAAAAAAAATTCAGATTAACATAGTCATAAATTCACTACGAACAATGGTGGTATGCAGGTATTTCTTTAATTAGTGAGGGTCAAAGGTTATCAGGACGCGTGCCATGATGCAATCGTCAGTTTCTGCACAACTTATTGCAATTATCCTCATATATTAATATGGAAGAAAAAAGAAAGTGTAGTAAGATCTTAGGCAAATAAGCATGCAGAAAATTGGTCACTTATATGTCTTTCCTCTGACCATTTTACCATGAAGTGGACACACTGATTGTCACACTTACTCATCAATTGCTTATAATTATGCTTTCTTCATAATGTTTGCTCATGTTTCATAATGTTGTCATGATAAATATGTTTGTTACTATGGATACAAGATGTCAGAATAAGCACCTGTCTTCAATTTATCCATCTAATCGGTCATGTGATGCTTAAATAGCATACTCAGTGTTACATTCTGTCTCAGTCCTATTCGCAGACCGATGACGTTATTCATGTTTCTTCAGGGAAAGAATTAACTGAACGAATTTAGCTGAAAGATCAGCGACGTTTTTTAGTAGCCAATTATTCACGATATTAAGTTACTCATTAGTTATGTGGACAGTAATTAATTCTTTAGATTAGTTATCGAAATATTCGTAATTTCTGGGTTAGTTTTGATTGTATTTTTTAACATGTATATTTCCATTCGTATATTTTCGTACTTTTCTTGCAATTCTTATTGTATAAATAACTTGTTCAGTAAATCTAATGCCGGAATGGATTATCATTGAATATTACGATTCATGTCGAGCATCTAGTCGTATTGATAACGGATATTGTGTTAACATGTTTGTTCTTTTTGGGCATTTTGCAAACGAATGAAATGAGCTAAAAATATGGATGCTGCTTGTTGGCTTACTGCAATTATACTATTGAAATATGTTCGGTGGAATTGTTTTATTATCGTTGTTATCACAATGTACTTTTTCTTTTTTTTTAAGTGCTTATTCATAGGGTAATTAGTGCATAAGTAAAAAAGCGGAAAGAATTATTTGTTCTTTCATTTTCCTAATGATTTGAATTTCCGGCTAATATCGGAATTTTTCGGTGATAACACGTTGTCCTGTCCCCTTTTGACAATTTTATATATTTGTATAGCAACAGCAGACGCATTTTAAATGGATAGTGCAGAGAATGCAACGATCACTATCATCAGCACCTTATCATCTATTACCATCATCCTACCTTTCTTTTGTGTGTTGCTCATTCTCATCATTATCAACAAAACAATGTAGGTACTATTATAAAACTATATGCTATACTTCCAATATACTTCGAAGCATTTCGTGATTTCTCTTCTGCTATTTCTTTTTTTTTTTTTACAGATTATATGAATCGATTAAATTATAAACGATTTCATTCATATTTTCTAACCTGTTCTAGCATCTTCAAAGGATTGATACTCTTGTTACTCGTGATATTTGGTATTTTATCTGGCCATCAGTCACTTTGCTATAACATTAATTTTTTCAGAAACAAAGGAACATTCTAGTTTATTCTTGTTTTATAGGAGATGATGAGTAGTCTGTTCCACGAACCTGCAGTGAAGAAGCTGCTTGGATGGAAGCAAGGTGATGAAGAGGAGAAATGGGCAGAAAAGGTTTGAATAGTTGTTTAAATATGGCAAATTAATCGAACCATACCTCCCTTAGTGAATTTTGCTTTTTCGTTGGTTGCATT